ATGTATAAATAGAGCTACTACTTGAAAGAAATCCTTGATGAAGATCTGATAGTAGTTGGAAAATTTCAAAAAGCATTAGACATCTCTTATCATTTTTGAAATCTTCTAATCTATAATAATTTGAACTTTTTTATAATCTATCATAAGTCCATCATTTGAAATGATGTATCCTAAGAAGTTGATTTGAGTAGTATGAAATATATACTTTTCTATCTTGGCATAAAACCTCACATCTCTTAGTTTTTATAATATATAACAAACATGAAGTTCATATTCTTTTGTATTTTTAGAATAGATTAAGATGTCGTCTAGGAAACAAACAATGAAGTCATCTAAAAACTCTCAAAAGACATCATTCATTAGATGTTAAAAATCTGCTAGTACATTTATAAGTCTAAAGGGCATGACATTCTATTCAAAATATTCATACCTAGTTTAAAACATAGATTTCTATTTATCTCCTTCTTTGATATATATTAGATTGTATGTTCTTTATAGATCTATTTTTGTATAGATCTGAGCTTGATTCAATTGATCAATAAGTCTAGATATCAAAAATAGTGGATACTTGTTCTTGATGGTGATTTTGTTATGTCTTTAATAATCAACACATATCTGTAATGATCTATCTTTTTTTTTTGTACAAATAAAATTAAAGCTCCTATTAGAAATTTGGAATAGCATATGAAGTTCTTAGCCAAATTTTCTTTAATATACTCTTTAAGTTTAGTCAATTTATTTTGTAATAAACTACAGATTGATCCAAATGGTAATTGAGCTTATTCTTGAAGGTCAATTGAGTAGTCATAGGAACAATGTTTTGAAAAAGTATCTATATTTTTTTTCTCAAATACATCTTAAAAATCTTAATATTGGTTTGAAATGCCACTTGAAGTCTTTTCACCATTAGAAATAAGTACAACATAAATGACACAAGATAATCCTTTTTTTTTAGTATGTAAGAAAGTTCTTGTACTTAGGTTTAATTATATTTAATTTATGAATTTTTACTTAATCAACTACACTTTTAGTTATACTTTCAAAAAAAATCAAGACTACAAAAAATCTAATCTATTTTATGATTATATTTTTTTAGCCATAATAAATCTAAAATGACTAAATTAGAGAGAGATTTAATGATATTAAATATCACAAATTACTATGACCATTAGTTATTACTTCTATAGGATGGATTTTATAAGTAACATTTTTTGAGGACAATAGATGACCATCTATGACTTCTACATAAACAAGTTTAGTTTTCTTTACTAAAAATTTGCTATGTCTTTTAGTAAATTCTTTATCTAAGAAAAATGCTAAGACTCTAAAATCTAAGAAGGTAAAGGCTTTGTAATATTTAGGTCCTAAAATAATATTTATTATAAAACAAAGAGAAGCTTCTTAAGAAAGAATAAGACCTTCATTAGGTTCCATATAAGGTTCCAAGTGCACAATCCGTATTGTAGCTGAATAAAATTATTTTCCAACATACTATCTTCTTTGATAGTTGTACACCTTATTTTGTAGTTGTATCACTTCTTTAGATAATATTAAGCACAATGCTTAGATTTTATATAATATAAGTTGTAATTATAGTACAATCCTTCTTAAAAACCATAAGTCTTTTTTTGCTTAGTAAGAAGTTTAAAATATATTACATCAATTTATATATCCTCTGCTTTGAAATATATGTATTGAGGAGACGTTGATGTTGCCACTGAATTATAGTAATGTTAAGGCATACTTTTGGGACTCTTAGATCTTGTAGGTTGTAACAAAAATTATATCATGCTTTTCATACATAAATCAAAACTTTGCTAAAAAAATCTCCAAATTATGTAATATTAGATCTTATTATTCAAGAAAAGATGAAAACTATGATCATGCCAAATCTAAAAGAAGTATATCAATAAATCTAACTTGCAATCATAGAGATGGATAGCTTTGAGATTAAATTTCAATCATAAGTTGTACTTGATTGATAAATTTTTGAAATTTGGATCTTATGCCATCAAACTTCTCAAATAATGCAACTTTTGATTCTTTAATACTTGAAGGATGTTCTACCATAGGAAAAAAGACATGATTTGATGCATATATTGAAGCAAATCCAATCAACTCTATATCTATGCTCCTTACCATTCTTATAGTTCCTTGTAGTGGTAAATTGAGTTGACGTATTGTAAACATTAATTCCTTCAATTGCTCTTGCATTTGTACCATTGTACTCTTTATTTCAAGAAGTTTTGCTATGATAACTCTTAGAAAAGAGAAGATGTTTAATATCACTTAAGACAAATAAAAGAGAGGACTTGAGAACAAAGAAAATTCTAAAGACAATATCAGTTTAGAAGAAGGTAATCCACAACCAATAATATGCTTATGTCTTATAAAAAAAAATAATAATCTATTCTTAATTAAAAAAAAAAGACAAATCTTTAATATTATAAGTGTACTCCTATCAATCTGTCAAAGACAAGAACCTCACGAAAGCATATAATCAAGTAAGACTTTTTTCATATAAGTTTGACAAAATAAAAGTAAAAAATATGTATATTAAAAAGAAAATTGGAATGGCTATTACAAAAAGACAAGAAAACTAAAGACTCTTGGATCAAGACTAGAGCAAGAAAGGAATTGAATCCTTGGTGAGGCTCAAATCCTTGATCTATAATCAAATTATCTTTGAGATAAAATATTTTCGTTTAACTTTTTTTACTATTTATTTTCTATCTTTGAATTTTTATAGCTTACTCATAATAATTAGAATTTATATGTTTCTTATATCATTAAAAATATAATAAAATTATTTATTTAAAAATATTTATTTAATATTTATTTTTATTTTTTATTAAGTAAAAATTTAATGAACAGACTATAGATCACTTTTGTTGTATATAATTATTTAATTGCACTTATTTCACTTATTTTGTATTATTTTATTTTATTTTATTTTTTAATGCATCTTCTACTTGACACCATCTATTATAAGTAATTCTTAATTGAGGCCAACTTGTAATTTGGATTGAAGGAGAAATTTACTTTCATACTTATCTATATTGACCTGGTGAAACCAATATTTAAACCATCTCTAAGTGGAATGAAATATTTTACTATATTTATTATTAACTATTCTTGAAGAAGTTAGATTTATTTTCTAAAGTCCAAAGAAGAAGAATTTTTGAAGTCTTGCACATTTAAAATATAATTAAAAAATGAAACAAGTTAGAATATTAAAATAAATCACAATGAAGAAGAATCTAAAGATGTATTCTCAAGATTGATAAAAAATTTAAAAGAAGATGATGTATCTTCAATGGAAGAATAAAATTTTTAAAATAAAGAGTTAAATGACTTATTTCTTTACGTGCAAACATTTGACGAAGCTACAAAACCATTACTAGTTGTATTATCACCAATATCACCTGTATTTCTATTTCAAGCAATATAACTTTCAGCAAGAACAAAAATAAAAAGATATAGATATCCTTCTACTAAACTTTGAAATAGTTGGTTATTTGCTATATGTTCAAAAGAACATCCTATTGACTACTTTGAAGTATGCAAAAGGAAGAGGTGAAAAGAGGCTATAGAGTAAGAAATCAAAAGCATTAACAAAAATAATACATGAAAAATATATAAATTACCAGTAATGAAGAAACCATTACATACAAGTAGATTTTAAAAGAAAGGTTGGAGAAAAAGGTAAATCTAAATAATATTAAGTTCAACTAATTACTTGCAGCTTTAAATAATAAAGAAAGGATTTCTTTGAAATCTTTATTCTTATTATAGGATAGAATATTATTAGAACAATCATGGCATTAGTTGCATCTAACAAATAGCAAATGAAGCAATATGATGTTAAAACTATTTTTTAAAATATTATTCTATAAGAGGAGGTGTATATAAGAATTCTATCTAATTTTGAGGAATATAGAAATAATAAAAAGATCTACAAACTCAAACAAACTTTGTATAGTCATCAATAATCTTCTTGTGCTTGGTACAGAAGAGTTATTGAATACCTACAAAATATTGGATTAAAAAAATCAAATGCAAATTCCAATCTTTACATTTGTTATCATCAAAACTTATACATTCTTCTATTACTTTATATTTTAATGATTTAATTATTATACGCATATTATTTGCTATATATTTAAAAGAAATAATTAAAATTAAAAAATATATATAGTCAAAATTTAAAATGACAAGTATGAAAAAGATTCAAACTTATCTAAGTGTAGAGTTTGAACATTCTAAACATGGTATAAGTTTGTATCAAAAAAATTATGTGAATGTTATTCTTGACAAATTTGGGGTGTCCAATTGCAACTCTTGTACAACTCCAATGGATAAAGGATTAAAACTTCAAAATGAAATAGAAGACAAATTGGTTAATGAAACTGAATATTGAAGACTTCTTGTAAGTCTTTTATATCTCTCAAATGTTGGAAAACCTAACATAAGTTTTGTAGTTAGTAATATCAGTAGGTACTATAAATCTCTACAAGAATTCCATTGAAAAGCAAGAATGCATGTATTGAGATATTTGAATAAAACTACTAAATTAGAAATATACTATCCTAAAAGAAACCTCAGAGACCTTATAGCTTACGTTGATGCTTGTTGGAGATGCGATGTTGATTCGAAGAGATCTACTTCAAGTCTTCTGTACATGATTGCCAATTCACCTCTTGACTTGAATTCCGGATCTAGGTCGGAGTGTGGCTCCAAATTTCACGAAGCCCAGGCAACTATTCAATATTCATGTAAACCATTCTACAGCTTACGCAACAGACTCATCCAACACAGAAGCATGTTCATGGTATAAAATGTTGCTTTTCACAGTGAAAAAAACTAAATCTGCCGCATATACCACTACTAGCATTTCAACCCATTTCAGTATAAAGCACCAACAGAGTTGCAAGCATGATGCAACCAGCGAGGAATCTAAGGCAACAGCAAAATACCCATTTCTAATGATACCAGAGTGATTTGAATAATATAATGAACATCCAGACAACTTTGTTACAGGCTTTATTTTTTAACAGAAGTAGACTTACAACGATGGCTTTCAAAAGACTCTGATTCTTGTCACATCACCAACCAAACTATGTGAGACTATTATACAACCAAGGTGGCGATGTGTTGCACAACTGCAAACACACGAAGCACCCACGCCGAAACACCAACACACCAATCCACGGTGGAGTGATTCTTATTCTAAACAGGTTCTCTATGACTACAATTAAAGACAGGGTGTTGCTCCTCTGATAGCTTTTGTAAGATTCAAACTCACCGTTTTGCTGATGCCGATCCTCAGCTGGAGCAGCTTCTTCATGAACTTGCGGCACATTCTGGTCTGGTTAAAGTTAGAGTGTTCTCCATTGCTAGTGTGTTTTGTGCTTGTTTTCATACCGGAGCGAAAAAACCAGGTATAGTTTACTTGGTTGGGCGATGTGAGAGATTACAAAAGCAGGAGAGAGGATCGGATGACTGGTATGCTGACTGCTAGTGAAGAAACTGCGCCCATGAGAATGTAGGTGACCAGACAGAATGGCATGAGGTCGGCGTCTCCAGATGCTAGCGCCGCTGATCCAAACCCGTGCGCGCTGATCACACACCAAAGCAAATCAGGATGGTTTTGGTTTCACTCAGAAAAGCAGTTTTTAGCTTGTACTGCTTCAATAGTTTCGGCAAGAAACAATCTCAAGTTAGTCTTTGAGAAGAGGTTTAGTGCAAGCAACAAGTATGAAAGATAAGGGACTGAAAGCAGACCTGCAGGCCGTCGCAAGGGCACGAGCCACATTGTTCTGAACCTTCAATGTTGAAAGCAGCCGCAATGACAAGTTGGCTCCTAGAAGCCCAGTTACAATGGCAGCAGTCGCAGCGATCGACTCATCCCCTGCACGAGCCAACACCCACCGAACTAGATCTCTCAGTACTCTCAACAATGGAGGGCTCGATACTAATTCGGAATCATAGTCATTAATAACATGCGCGGCAAGCTTGTGGCATTAGAACTAACCTCCAATCGCTTTTGTAACTGGAATCGCGAATGCCAAGGAGGTACTCCGAGCTGCGACTGAGCGTGTGAGAAATTCTTGAAGACCTAGTTGACGTCCCGCAATTACAGTGGTCAGGATGGAGAAGATGGCCGCTAGTGGCACCACTACCCCAAGTTCAGTAGCGTGGTGTCGAAGAATCTGCAGCAAGGCGCTCTATTGAATTAGAACTAGAGGCTATGAATACTGCGACCAGAACTCTATTGACATTGAAATTTATCGCAGATGTCTACAAGGATAATGACTCTGTTGAGGTAGTGCATACTTACAGAGCGCTGACGAAACAGGGTGAAACCGTATGTGAGGGTCAGAGGACCTAACAATGCCATTAATATGTCTCCACCGCCTGGGGTCTGCATACTCTTGGTCACGTATAATCCTGCAAAAGGTCCAAAGAAAAAGCACCGCTCATAACCCATTTTCTCAGCCATTATACATGCATTCGCCAGCTTTACCATGTGCTAAGTCGTTCACATAAAGGATTCTATTCAACAGTGAGATTTCAAAGTTATGCGATCGGGAAAAACGCACCAAGCATGGTTTCGAAACTTCGATTCATGAATGTCCCAGCGAGAAATGTGATCACATTCACGAAGACAGTTGCGGTGATAACAGGGTGTAAGAATTTCTTGAGAGGTTTGGGCACCCTGCACACAAATTCACGTGTGAGTCGTTAGGGCTGAAAAATGGGAGCCGATTTCTTTAGCAAAGACAATGTTCTACTTGATACGTCATGTATCTTTCGGAGAATCTTGACAGTAGCGCCAGGATTATAGTGGAGGGGGTGCAAACGTACTGAGTTCCGAGTAGAAACCCTACAACAGTGGCACAAATGAAGAAAGGAGCCGCTACTGTTGCTTGATGCAACCCAAAAGCATTTGGTGCGAGATACGCCACAAGTCCACTTGCAGCTCCAACTCCTGCCCAAGTCAAGACCTCCCAAATACTATATGGGGCCGCAGGTGACATGTTCGGGGCGTCTCCAACCTCTGCTTGAACTCCTGCCTTCACAAGCCCGGCGATCAATGCCACTGCTCCGAGAGTCACTACCCAGCCTCCCGCTGCCAAATTACCAACTTTCATGTCAGGCTATTCTTAACCCAACGACGAGCAGGTTGATCACCATACCAATATCAAAGATGTGGAGAGTGCTCGGGATTAGTATAAGATTCGATGGGGTACTTACCGACCAAGACAAGAAGTCGCACTCCCTCTTCTACGACGATTCTCTGCCCGACCACCGACAGCATAACAAGAGCAGGGGTATAGAAGAGAGGCATCCATCGCTGGATTATTTCCACTGCAGGTTCGAAAAAACTTGTTATTCTTTTGGCAGTGCTTTGATCGGCCCGACTGATGGCGGTAAGTGCAGCCGCCACGAGTATCATACACACGGTTGAACTTGGCAAGTTTCGCAAGACAGCGGGCAGTGCCTCCGAGCGGGTAAGGGCCAGCGCAGTCCCTTTGTCAAGAGCCACTAAACATGCTCCAGCCAGACCTACTTGCAGAGGCTTCAGATCTTTCCCATGACCCGATACCTGGTGATTATCACCCTAAATGTCAGTCAAAACTCTATGATCCTTCTCGGGGCTTCTTTTTCAAACCATCTTGGGTTCTTTGTTACAACTGAAGGGATATTCGGCATCTTTATTATTGTCCGGAGACTGACTGAAGAACTTGAGTGATTCAGCAACAGCATAATAGGGCTCGAACTTCCACAAGGATGTCGTGTCTTCTCGCTGCAATTACCGTCATCCTAACATCTATTCTGCTTGACAGACTCTTTCAGCTCGAATACGATTCATTTTAATGATTCAGTTCTGCGCAATAAATAAGATGAGGAAATGTACCTGGTCAGAGAGATCTGCGTCAAAAGTCGCTTGAACTGAGTTCTCTCGCCTTTGCCTCTCACTTGATCGGCGTTTAGGCTGGAAAGGATACGATGGTCAGTTAGTATTTTGAAAAATCATGTTTCTTCCAGTTAAAATAGCTCAATCGATGATATGTAGCTTGTGAGTTACGCCCATGCGTGTCTGAGCAAAATAATACTAAATAAATCAAACGAAAGAGAAGACGAACGAAATGGTTAGCGATGTAGAAGTACCTTGAGATTCGTAGAGATGTCGGCAAGTTGAAGACTGTGGTGGACAATTGTAGCTCTTTGCAAGGGCACAGTATGTACTGATCTTGTCCGAGTGACCATGGACATCCGAGCTAAGGTGCCAACAAGCCTCCCATCAGGCTTCAACAGAGACATAGCAGACGGGAAGGCCGCGATTCCACACGGAGACTGCAAATAAATCGTGTTGCGGGAGGCAGCCATTCTAAGAGCTAGAAACCACCACCAAATGCCATCCAGAAAGAGAGGTAATTAGTAACACTACAACTACGCCTCGCATCGATTCCAGACAAGATCTCATAACATAGAGCGAAGATTTCGTGATCGAGAACCCGCACAGCTAATACTATCAACAATGGTGAACAACAATCTTAATGCCAGCACTGTACACTTGCCTTCAAAGTCAGTTATTTCTTCAACTCAAGTCGACTCACAAACTATTTGAGTCAAAAGCTTTGAAAACTGTTCCAACACCAGATATTAATCTCCTTACCAACAGAGATCCTGGTCCGATTTCTTCAAGTTAGGATCTGATGCAGTTCTCAAATCCAGCTCTCGGATCGAAACCAAAACCTTCACCTCACAATCCTGCACGACTTCAAATTCTTCACCATGTCGCAATCAAAACTGCACACAATTCTAAACGCTCTATCATATACCACAGTACAGAGTGTGATGGATTTCAACAATTTATATACACACCACCTGAGACAATTCACACCGAAGTCTCGTCCAGCCATGTGATACCTACAAGCTCTCGGGGAGTGTTTGGTTAAATGCTTTTGAACATTCTCCCTGTATCTAGTCATTATTTCGGTGAGTCATCGTGAAACTTTGTACTCCCTCTTGACAGATGTTGCTCACGTTACTTCTGATTCATTCAGGATCAGAGAAAAAGTTCGTAATCTAGTGCACCTAATTTGGAGTTGCTTGCAATGGGTCCCATCCTCAGTGGAGGCGTAGTAAGAGCCCACTTGGCGGGACCTGGGGTGACGGTTTCTCTTCGAGAGAGAAAAGGAGGAAAAGACTGCCAACTCGTGTGTAAAAACCACTATAACTCCCGCGTACACTTTCCATTGCGAGGCATGTCGGAGAAGCAGCTGACGAAATGACTTCCCTTACGATCCGAGATTGTTTCCACCCAAAGCATTTTGTCACCTTAACTCCAAACACCGGTGACAAAAAATATGCATATACACAAATTACAAACAAATGGATATTGAATTCCATGACACGATGTGCAGTACTCAATCATGCTGAGCTCACAGAGAATGTACAAAATCCGGCGCAGGTTTTCCAGCATTTTTCGAATAATCTAATGCAAGTTGCAAGAGTGAATAAACTGCACAATTGCAGCCGCTACAATGAGATTATAATCTTTCCCTAGAAGGGCCATTCCACTCCAAGTTTGAATGCTGTTAGAGGTAGGGGCTTCACCCGGGGGGGGGGGGAAGCGACTTGCCAACGAGGCATGCCACGTCGTCAAGTCCTGGGGTCTGCCTCGTTGGCAGAAGGGGTCGGAAATGGGTGAGCTGCCATACCCGGCGCGGAATCCTCGGGGATCTGGACGGCGAATGAGAGCGGGACTTGGACGGATGAAGGGCTTCGGTGTGCGCCAATGAGGAAAAGCTTCGGTGGATGAGGATGGAAGGATAAGGATTCTCCATAACCAAGCTTGAGTGTGTGTGTGTGTGCGTGCTCTCTCGGGCTTCTTGTTGCTTGCAACTTGCCCGGTCTACTGTGCGCGACTGATGCGTTGCTAGGCACGGGACTTGCTTAGTGGCTATAGATTATAGTGCTGTAAAGTGGTAGAAGAAATTGGACTCTGTCGTTTCGTGGTGTCTCAAATCTACCGGGCAGAACGATTAAGACAAGCAAATTGAGTGTGGTGTGTGGTGCGATGCGAGGTTGCAGGGATCGAATGGCTTGGCTACGCTGTCGTGTGCTTCACAACCAGCATCTGATCCATGCGCTTTCCTCCTGAGCGGCATCTGGATTCAAAGCATCTCGCACGTTCCGGGTAGTGTCTAGTGTTGTATGACATCAGAGCGCAGTATCTGTGACGCGTCATCACGAGTGCCCCGACGTTGATATAATCTAACGACAAAGTGAATCTTGCCGTGCCTAGAGGACCAGCAAAGAATGGCACTCGTAAAATTCGCAAGTGCGACTAAGTTATGCTTCTACTGGAGGTGTCACTGAGATCTGGCTCCAGTGGTTTTGAATTCCGTCGGAGCTCCCTGGAGGACAATCTTGAATGCACGATGGAGATCCTATTTGCGTAATAGTGCCTCTGAAAGAACGTGATCGTATTGGCAACTTGCTGCAACGTTCAAGAGAATCACACATGAAAGTCCAATTGTGCTTCATTAATAGGATGATGGATTTTTTGTTATCTCTCCTACAAAAGTTAAGAATCGTTTGATTTACTTCCCGCCAGGCCCTTAAAACTTGCTCAAGGACTTGAGTATTGCACCACCAATTGGGAGCAGCTTGCTGTACCCCCAGCATGCATATCTACATTTACTCGAGTTGAAAGTACTGCACCTCAATCACATAATTCACAGATTTATTTCTAAGGCTCGCCTCCTCTGTCTAACTTGTGCGAAACCAGCAGATACTTCCATGGAAAGTGGCACCAACGTTCGCATCCCTGCCTCCATCAATGACCCGTTGTACAGTAGAAACTCTGCGCAAATTGCCTGAAAATTTTTCTGACGCTTAATAGCGTCATCCTTTCGCAGGGCTCGAGGTGTGGGAACAACAAGAAGGATTTTCGAGGTATTAAACTGCAGGAGATAGTTTACGCTACTGGATCAGCTCGTTAAATGGCTGAACATAGTTGTCAGCTATTAAAACAAGTATGGCTTCCGCGCTGAAAACTTCAGTGAATCTATATGAATTCAGTTCCCATCCCCCAAGCACGATCCCAACTGATTGATATATATATATATATATATAGAGAGAGAGAGAGAGAGAGAGAGAGAGAGTAGAAACTACAGCTCCCATATAATTTGGCGTCTTGGTCGCAACTAACGCCCTGGTGTGGATGCTCTTCTCTCGGACCAGGCTATCCTTTCAAGTTGCGGCCATTATCACGTCCTTTAGGTTGTGTATCCCCCTAAATGAATTTACTCCGAAGTATCTCGTCACCTAAATACTTGCAACATATCTTCTATTCTTTGATTTCACGGATTCCCTGATTTGATGTCTCCCAGGCAGCGGAATTTCAATGTCGAATCGGGAAGAAGTAGGCATCTGATGTTCGACTGTTCCCAAGATTGATGCATTTTCTCGGTATCATTGGTACAATACTTGTATTCATTAATGCTGAAGAAAACGCGGAGCTCGAGGTTCTACTCGAACACTAGAAGCTCTATTATGTTCTCGCATTTGGAGTAGTTGAAGTAGGCGTTCGTGAAGAAGTGAGGGAATTTTGCTGAGGAACGCCATTCCTTGCCGTTTGCGTACCATGGAACGCCCGGGTACGGCTTCAACACCTTCTTCACATCTTAATCTGCAATTTTCACTTCCTGAGATGGGAATGATTCGAAATTTCAAACCTTTTTCGGGTTGTTAATTCGGTCACCATCTTGCAGGTGCAGATGACCTGACGTCAACTTGTAACAATCGCAGTCAAGCGCAGGTAAATTCGAAGGTTGCCTCTGATCAACCGCTTCCTCTGGAGCGCAACGAAATATTTTACAGCTGCAATTTTTATACGGCGTTGACAGAGTGGAAGGCAGAAGGGACATGTGGGAAATGATCGACAAATAGCTGTTGAATTTAAAGAAATTCGAGAGACAAGGGAATATTTCGAGAAAGACCCTGAAGAATACCGCAATCTGCTATATGTTTGCCTGAAATCTAATGGGTTCAGCTCTAGCTATACAATCCAGTCACACTCCGTTTCCTTCTGAACAACTCAAATACGAAAACCTTATTCAACTTCGCAGAAAATGTGAGTATAGGAGCAACGTTTCAATAGATCCAAAACCTAGGTCCAGCACCATTGTCGACTCCGGAATCAAAGCTTCCATCCACTCTTGGCAACCGAGAGGTCGCCAAACCTTCGTCAATACACGTAGTTCTATTCACGAAGATTAACTGCGTTACAAAAGACATTGCAAGACCACTTCCGGCCAATTTTTTCAAAACAGGATTTTCCCAAAACATAATTGCGAGATGACTGCTGCATGTTCACAATATGATGATGCCACGATGAAACGGTTGCACGAATACTGCGGTACAGCGTCACTCACGCTCGTGAATGCGGAAAGATCTGCAAGAGTTAGTGACTGGGACTCGAATGCGCAAAGCCCTCACATGCAACGTGGAAGGCAGGTAATCCGTAATTTCGTCTAAAATATTAATTATTAACTCCTCGGAGATCTAAACAAGAGTAACTGTCGTTGTTAGTGATTACGTGACCCCAATCTTACTTGTGCTTCAAACAATTGTTTGATGACATGTTGCAACAGAGAAACTCTAGTAGTAATTGAATAAGAAAACCATGTAGTAGGTTCCAACTTGCTTCCCGTAAGTTCCTTTGGATTCTTTTAGTTGGTACCGTGCCAGGCCACTGCATCGTGTCACGTCACCTGCTCCAAGTCTTTCTGTGATTCCGAGGCTGTTCGTGAAGAGAGCATCACACGTCGATAACCCGGATGCGTTACAAAGTATCCCATTTCTAGAGAAACGTCACAGCCACGCATTTGTCACCTTGTGAGTTAGCTCGATTGTTGGATCGGCAGGATAATGGTGGAGGATACTTTCGGATCTGCTGAAAATTTGATGGAGTTCAAGAACGTTGGTGATGGAGTTGATGCAGGGACTGAAAACATTTGTTTTGAAGAACAGGGTTTCATCCGCATTGTCTTTATCTGAGTGCAGGTGTTCCTTCCCTTGTAATGGAAGCCTGAGCTATGTAATCCGATTCTGCGAATAATTTAGCCAGTCATAGGGAGGGATACCATAAATGTCATCAGGGTCTTCGTAACTGCATGCTACCGAACTTGTTGCAAAATTCACGCGCTCGGTATCTGGAAATTATATGAGAGATTGGTCTTTGCAATTGTGAGTTGAAGAACCGGGAGCAAGAGCTTTACAATCTATTCCTCAAAATGAAAAGAATTATGTGCAGGCTTGAGCTGGTTTTGTTCCTCTGTTTCTTCGCTATCTTTGTATGCTTCACGAGTTTTAACAGCGCGAAATTTCTGAAACATTACAACTCCATCGTTTATGTCTCCGATGGTACGGGGACGAAATTGTTAAAGAGCACACTGGCTAATTGTAATTGTACAGTTTGCGCGGCTTGCCCGCCTGCGGAAACAGTGGTTGTGGAAAAAGTAATTGTTAAGGAGGTAGTCAAGAAAGAGGAATGCGGCAACAATGAAGGTCCATGGTATGCGGAAGGCAAAACATGGCACTATCCAGCAAGGTTCCCTCTCTGCTCCATGGATGTATGCTTCAATTATACGAAATGCGACAGCTCCGAGGATCCCTTAATCTTCACGTATGATTTGCCCGCTCCACCGAAGCGATATTTCTCCCGCATCGGTGAGTTCAAGTATTACACGAACGATCCTGCAAAAGCCTGTCTCTTCCTCGTATTTCTTGACGGCGACACTCCGTGGCCGCCGCATCCGAGTACTCTACCATATTGGAACAAAGGGCTGAACCATGTTTTGGTGATATTCGCGGACAAGTGGCACCAGAGAGGACCGCACCAGGCTTCAATTGGCAATGCATCTGTGATGGCGAGTGATATGCACGAGACAACGTACCGACCAGGGTTTGATGTCAGTATCCCTTTGCCAGGGCGCCATCACGTGAGGCGATTTCAGTCCGTGAAACCTCTTGAAAGGAAATACCTGGCCACATTTCGGGGGTTGCGGTACTTGGGACCGAAGGGGGAGGGAGTGTTCAGGAGTTTGGATTCATTTCGGGGAATGCACAATGGAAACGACGTGATAGTAGCCACGTCGTGTGAGCATATGATCAACAACATGATCCGGAAGAAGGAGCCAACATTAGGTGTTCACTGTGACGAAGACTTGTTGATACATAAGAACTATACTTTCGATGATCTCATGAACACCACGTTTGGATTAGTTCCGGCAGGAGTTCAACCAGCGAGCTACAGATTTATAGAGGTACTGAGCGCAGGAGCCATTCCCGTGTTAATAGCTGATAATTATGTCAAGCCCTTCGATACTTTGATCTTGTGGTACAAGTGTCTCTTGCAATTTCCAACCACAGAGATGCATCGTATTGTAGGCACTCTCCGGGCCATGAAACCGGAGGAGGTCAAGATCAGGCAAGAAAACTGCTTGGCGATTTACAACAAGTACCTTAAGGATGACGAAACCCTGCTGCAAACTGCTATTCAAGCTTTGAAGGCCAGATTTCTTGGTGCTATACCAGGTTTTACAGATATTACCAGAAAACGGTGATTTGAATTATGCATTGGACTCGGACTAAGAATGTTCCAAATGGTCGTTGAGGAAACACACTAGCTGAAGGTACTTATAATTGATACTTTTACTCAACACTGATTTATAGGAGCCTCATTAGATTAATAGATTTCAGTCAATCCCAACATTCCACAACCATGCTTGGCCATGCGTAGTAAGTTGGAGTTACACTCAAGTTGATGGCGCTCGTCATGTAGAAATGGATCTGAAGGTATGGATAATCAGCATTCTGACCACTGTAAGGTGCGTCGTTGGTGGTTTCATTCACTTTTCAGGCACTTGGCAATTTTCAGTTGTGATGTGATCTGTAGAAGCTTGCAATTCTGGCTTCGAGGTTGGTTCTCTTGCGACATCTTCCCGCATAATGCAATGTAGTGTAAACACTTACAAGCTGTCGTGTGCGATCGTAGATTCACTGTAGCTACCACAGCTGATCATCATTGTTAAGATCCTCTCCAGGGACAGCTATTCAGAGACGAGTGCTGGAACTTCCGGAACAACGACCAGGAGCTTTTTTAACCACAAACAGACACAACGGAATAACAAATAGACATCAATTAAAATATACCGATAGGACGCCGATTCTATTCAAAGCACTGGTCTCCATGCGGCACGACAATCATGTGCAGCAAAGTGCAATTGACGAGGCTGGGAAACATCATCGTTCTCAGTAACGCCAGCCACGTTGAAATGATAAAGCAATACATGCAGAAAAATACGATTACGGCCACCAACACCCCAGTTGGGTTCGTGCGATTCTAAGCCAAACAAGCTTCTAGTTGGTAGTTTTACAATAATGTACAAAAATGTACAGAGCCACAGAGCTAACTACGCATTCGTGCCATCTAGAAAACAAGGACTAGTCTTCTGCGGTTCTACCTATTCACAACTTATCAAGCAGATGCTTGATACAAAATTTGTCTACACTTGCAAGTGACAGAATTAATCATCAATTATATTTAACATCCACGCACTTGTCAATCAGAAAAGCGGTATCTGCTTTGGTAGATAATCCACCCATTCCGCAGGTGTAGCTTTGTTACGATGGAGGACTCTAAACGTCCTGTAGTTCGGAGGCAAGTCGGAACTGTCAAGCTCCTTGGGCTCCTGTTCAGGTTTTTAAAAAAGTAAGGGATCTTACGGGCAATGAAAGCAGAAAAGAAACATGTGACTATGCTGCGTCGTATAAATTGTATGACTGAAACAGATGGTAATAACACAGGAAAACTATCCACAAGTTTTTCAAGAGCACGGTTACCACTACTTACAATCAAAGGACTCGTAAATCTCACTAAATGATCTGTATACAGCCTTCTCAAATGCACACAGATCATGCACATTTCATGCCACTTCACGACTAGTTAGCAAGAATGTGAAGCTCGAATCATTCTCACCTTGGGTTGCTTCAAAAGCTTCATGCGACACTCCTCCAGAGACTTGTCTCCTTTTTTTACATTACAAGTTGCGCATGCAGTGACCTGAAAAGAAAAAAAAAAAAAAAAAAAAAGGGGGGGGGGGGGGGAGCTCAAAGATGTTAGTCAAATGCTTCTCTAGAGTTTCGTAGATACCAAAACTCCTCTTAGTTCTATTCAGAACCCTGTTTCTTTAATAATCTAACCAAAAAAAACTACACGTACTTATGTTATAATGTATTGCTATCACGTACTGAACAATTACCAGATTTTCCCACTCCCAACCACCTCCACGAGAGGCTGCCAGCACGTGATCAACTGTCAAGTCCTCTCCCCTCTTATTGCAATACCTGCAAAACCGTGATGTTTCATGCATCAATGATAAATTATGAAATAATAATTTTGGATTACTGACCAATACAACAAGAAACAGCCCAACACATCAAAGATAAGAAGCCCCAACTACAGTCAGCAGGCACTTACTGGCATCTAAATTTGTCCCTCAAAAAGATATTGTTACGATTCAGGGTGAGCTTGACCTTCTTGCCCTTTGGCGCATGAACAAAGGTACTAACCTGCAATCAAAACAAACCTCCTGGGTAACCAGAAAATTCGAGTGTCCTAGAGAGTCTTCTAAGCAGGATACGATGCATTCGATTGCATGTTTTTAAGCGAAAATTCCACTTTGAAAGAGACGATATTAGTAACGCACCCTAAGAACTGCTGGAATATAATAGGATTTGGAGACTGCTACAACGGCTTGATCATAATATTCCAACACGTCTGCCTGCAACCACATGCACAAAATGAATCAATGAAACAAAACATTGTTAATAAGCAACCAGTTCGAAACTCTGACGCACAACCATTCATTACAAATAACATTACAAAGTGCACAGATGATGAGAATCCAAATTAACCACAAACACAACCCTAAATGCACAATCAGTGATGAGGAAAGATTGAAATATTGTTGGCTTCAATATCTTACCCTCTCCATGACATCTAAACATAATGCTCGCTTCCAGCTTACCACATTGATTGGTCTGCGATACCAAGTCATTACAGAGAAAATATACGTCATCAGTAGTACTTCTAGAATACAAACTAAGATTTGCGCACTGAATAACTGAAGGATAAATTAACCAACTACTGTACAACAACCTTCCTGTCTTAATGCATTAAGTAACATCAGCAGATAGTTACTAAAAGCCTGCCACACCCTCGTCCCAGCTCCACACCGCAGTTACGCTGTGCTGATAAAGAAAAGAAACATGACTTAAACTACTTGTGCTTTGAGATTTCTGAGAACTGTGATCTGATTCAGTTACCTATATGTGAGGTCGAGCACAAGACCTCGGTAAATCTGCAGTTCATCGTCTTCATCAAGCTCATCAAGTTCCTCTTCCATACTACAAAAGTCAGCTGGAGCTAAGGAAGAGTTTCCTATGGCGAGGGAATCTGTTAACATGAGGCCACTGGAGTCAACTTTCTTAGTATTTTTCAATATCTTCCCCCGCTGTTCTTTACTATCCTTCTTGCTCTTCCCATGGTGTGCTGGCCTTTTAGCTTGTGCCCTACTACTCATCACAAAACGAGCGACCACAGATCGTTTACGTGATGGGCCTTTTAGATTACCCACATGAAACGATGAAGCAATGACAGAATAGATACTGTGTCTTTGAAGGCATTCTCGTTCCAGAGGAAGGTGTTTGCAATTGCTGTGGGCATGAAAAATTTGGGACTTCGTGAGACTCATCGCTGCGAATGCTGCCGATCGCACCCCGTTCTAATTACTAGCAGCTCCACTTAGTTTCCTTCTATTGGTTATTGATGTACAACGGCACAACCACCATGTGATGTGGAAGGCTACCTGCAGCAATCAAACTCCGAATAAGGGCGGAATCTAAAAATTAGATGCAACAGGTAACGGTTGAAGGGCATTGAATGAATGCACACAGATATGAGCCACTCCAATCAGAGAAACACTCGGAACCTAATTTCCCTCCTTCGTCTTCCTCACGTGGAAATTCTAATTCGAGAAATCAAGGAGAAGCATTGACACAATTACGAAATTCTGGATGACGGGCACCTAAAAGTGAAACGGTTTAGCCAGAACAGCAAAGAGAGAAGACAACCAAAACAGCTTCATCACTTTGAAAGTGTGGAGAGTGAGGTTAAGAATATAAAATGGGGGATTTTCACCTCGAAATGACCAAGCCCACTGAGACAACAAACCTCAAACCGAACTGTGCATGAGCTGAATCACGAGAAGCACACAGAATTCTCCACAACTAGATATTCGTAACCCACACCCATATACTCAACTTTTGATCTTTGCCAAGCTATCAAGTTTCCCTGCTAGTAGGTATCGATCGACAAAGCAAAACTCAAATTCGTAGTGTTTTGCTTTCAAAACGATAGGTACTAAACTTCAAACACCAAAAAATCGCTATCAAAGCACCATACAGCTCCCATAAAGCTCAAAACCGAAGAAATCGAACATCATCACACACACACACACACACATACACAGAGTATATAAGAGCGGTGCAAATAAAAGAAAATTCCCCCAAATTGTGCGAATTCTAGGAGCAAAACTTCTTGCGATCTATGGCTGGGAAATTCTCAAGACAACCCAGCAAACAGCCCGAAATCGATATCCGCTGAGAAATTTTACAAAAAATCCCACAGACCCTCGCCAATCGCACCTCTGCGTCGCAAATTTATGACATCCGCTAAAAATCCCATCAACAGCGAAGTTGTCCACCCACGGCCTGCAATTGAGTCACAGCAACAACTCTCGAAGTCATCAAATAACCAGAAGAGTCAATCGCTCAAGTCCGATACATCCCAATACCCCCGCAACGAATCGCAACCAGGAGCAGCGAAATGGGGGAAGCGATGCAAATAGTTAGATAAGAGACGAAACCAGCCATGGAGTTTGTGGGTTCAGAAAAAAGATGTGGCAGCGACATACCAGGCCAAGATCTGGGGCCCTTGTGGGTCGCCGTTAAATCAGGTGGCCGCTTTCACTTTACGATCCTCCGACCACACTCGACGACGTCTCTCGCTCTCACTCTCTCCCTGTCCACCATACCCACCGCCTGTGATAATTTTTCCTCGTCGCAGCCCGAAACCTCGAATTCTTGTTCAAAATGAAGTAAGGCAGTCCCGTCTTGTCACTGAGACGTTTGCGATAATTAGTCCAGAATACGCTTGTGTACATTGCATTCCTTTCCACATGTAACTGCAGTTGCGGGAGTTTGCTGTTGTTCTCATTGTGGTGCTTGTACTTCAGAGTTGCTCTGGTGTCTGCAGGCGATGCGGCTATCGCCACACCATTTGCTTCGATCTGACCGCAATAGCTTTTGTCGACTAGAGCGTTACCGCTTGCTGTGATTCTCAATTGTGTCAACAGAGTTTGTATACAAGTCTCATTGCTGCCGTTTCTTCTGTTGATAAATTAGATAGCTGACACACAGTTACAGATGTAGTATTATTAACATTTACGGAACACAACTCCAACTGCACAGAGGGCAGCTCTTCTACAATTTCTATTGACCAGTCTACATAAATACATTTCCATCATATGTAAGTACCTGCCCGTTGGACTTGTAATCTCTTTACGCATGGTTTGGGAATGCACAGGATTAGAAGTACGCAATAAACAAAAAGTTCGAGGACTTGCACAGAAAAGTGGCTAAATTTTAGCAACTCATAATAGCTCACAAGAGAGCTGCGAAGAAAAAGCTTTCAATAACAGATTCGTCATTCAATTAGAGACACTGTGAATTAATGACAGCTCTTTGGTGGAGATCACCACTAATTGTACGAAATAAATATACCTGCACTTGCCAAACTATCAAAGGTTACCAAACTAAGTGAAAAAGCCGAACTTAATACCAGGGTGTGCATGGTGTACCGAAAATTGGGGTAACCTAAAGACAAGCTACACATTCCGACCTATCATTTGAACCCTTGTAAAGGGCAATATCACACCGTAAACAATGGTGACACTTAACATCATAACATACATTTCTAAATTATGTATGCATTTCCTAATCCTACAAACAACCCGTAATTGTAACATAAGCAAACTCTATTCGCCAGCTGATTTCCAACTCAAGCTCGATTCATTTTCACTGCTTCATCACAGTACTGAGAGCAGTGGCTTCTTCCGGAGGCAAACTACCGAGAACTGACTGCATTTGGTCACCGTATTGTGAGCATAATTGCATTACGGCTCGGCCAATACCTAGCTTGACATCTGACGGCGTCTCGTTGGCCACCACCGCCTTCGCGAAAACGGATATCAGCTGTGGGACCAGAGGAAGTATCTGTGTAACACCGGAAACACAATTAACACACACGGGATGTCTTAATTAAAAGATAAGTACGCTACTCCCCAGTAGATGTTCAGATAGCGAGACGATATGAAAGAAATCTCAACTAATAATTTCTGACAGGATTACGCAACTGTATGCAAGAAAGTGGACAATTTCAAGAGGTGATTAAGATATTATACCTCCGAATGACCAGCTAAAACAAGCCCACATAGGCAACCATACACGATTTCACATTCCTCCATATCCTCCTTCAAGGGAAGAGCTGAAATAAGGACTGGTAGAACCTGTCACAAACAGTCGCAAATCAATCGCTAATAGTTGATCAGCGTCAAAAGTATAAAGTAAATACTTCATGAAACAGGATGACGAAGAAAGATGACGTCCATTGCATCACGAAAGCGAAGGCATGAAACAGACCTGACTCAAAGGAAGCGCGTGGGGCTGTGCGGTAATCATGCGAGAAACCGCTCCAGCTGCATTGTCTCTCGTACCGTTATCCTCTCCAGCCCCAAATAGTGGGTGCAGTGCAACTAGGATGTTATTGTAATATCTTCGCAACGTAAGTCAAGAAAATCCAAACATTCAAGCATAAAGTCTAGCCTATATAAGATAATAAATGTCCATGCAGGTTAGAGGGATAACTAGAGTTTGGTTGTAAAATTCATCATTCAAACAATTACGTTCGAGTTAAAACCATTAATTTCGCTACAAATAAGAAAATTCGAATTTGAGTTTGGATACTGTAGTGCTACTTCTCCTCCATTCTTACACAGCTCGCCAATACAGTACGCCGCATTCCGCCGATTCGTCGCATCTGGTGACGCAAGCTCCTTCAGAGCGATTGGCATGGTAATCTGAACATGCCACAAGCACCAACTAAGAAATCCCATTGATTAAACTAAAATATAAACGTAGGGCTCTTCATATTACAACTAGACAAATCACCGAATCCAAGTCGTAATTGGAAGTACATATAAGATAATGAGATCAACTCCTAACCTCAACGTAGGGAGTGATAGAATTTCCGATCTCTTTCGCCACCTCAGCAATACATGCAACTGCCATTGTCCGATCATTGGGGGGGCGAGAAGCTTTCTGCACAACCAACCCGAAACATCGAAGGCATCTCAGGTATCTGATATTAGGGTCACTGGGCTACAATGCGTGCTACACATCTAATAACCAATTATTCAGAATCTGAAAACCACACCTTGCAGAGAAGAATATTACGGGTTTTACACAATTACAGTTAAGATTACTTTTAACGTCTCAGGTGCTTCCAGAACAATGGTAAAACTCACAAAATAAAACCACGCCCCAACAAATTATGGCATTGAACATACCGCGAATTTCATCAAGGGCTCGAAGAAAGGACGGAAGAGAGGCCCAAATCCAGGGCCCATGCACTTTCCAATAGCTGGCAGAATGTCCGTTACAGCATCGATGAGAAGTTCATCATGCTCCATGTCATCCTCATCACCTTCACTATCGGTATCTCCCGTTTGCTGACAAACAGCCTCCTGGCGCAGCAAACAGAGTGTAGCCTCACATAAGGGTGTGAGAAACTTCTGAATACTGTCATAACTGACAGATTTCACGATCTCCGCCACGGAAGTACACACTTGAGAGACTGTGTCTTTATCATCGTCCTCGTTCATGAGCTTGATGTACTGCTCCATAATCAGATCCAAGACATGTTTGGCTTCTGGAGAGATGGTATCGCTAGGAAAAGCTGCTTTGGTTGCAGTTAGCAAATGTTGGAAGGCAATGACAGCTTGAATTCTCACATCCTCATGGAAGTAGCCAGCATGCTTCTGCATCACCTTCAATGCTTCTTCTAGATATGGCATAAAAGCAGCTTTTGTATGAAGAGCAAACGAACCAAGTGCTTGGGTAGCAGCTGCTTTCTCATCCAAAACTCCTGTCCGAACACTGAAATTCCGAACTCTCTTGTTATCAGTGTCCTCATCTTCATCGGATGAGAGACCTCCAATTGCACCACCAATGTTATCATCACCATCAGAGTCGGCCAGTTCAAATGCCGTCCCGTCATCAAGGTTGCAAGATTGCAAAGCAAGCATAACTAAACGGGGCAGATACTGCAAAATTTGTGCCACGTTTCGACAAGAATCAGCGAGATGCTCATGGCATTGAGGACAAACTGTTAGATTTACACCTTAAGTACGTTCATTCACACAACTTTGACATTGGTGTCTCTGATTTAAGACAAAAACTTCAGCTCAACCAAAAGAAGAAAATAGTAGTAATGATTTAAAGCACGTACCGGAACCACGTCCTCTTCCAGAATTTCAGCAACATGGCTAAAGAAACCATGTGTGTACTCTCGCAATTCACTAAATTCCAATTCAAATCCCTATATGGACAGAGAAGCAATGGTCGAAGTTCAAAACACAGTATGGTAAGTAATGAAAGAAATATACGGAAAGCCTTTAACATCCCGTAGGGTTCATATTAGACACTGAAGAAATGGCAAACGAACTCAAGAGCAGCTAAAATAAATAAACAAAACAAAACAAACAATCATGAAAAAATGTTAATAACTCGGAAGAATTACCTCAATTGCAGCCTCGATGAAGCCTGGAAGAACTGGCCCGATAACGCCTCGTCCAACTGCCATACCAACGATACCGACCAGCTCTGTTGCACGAGCTCGAGCGGGTAAATCCTCATCTTTCGTCAAAGTCATAAATCCTTGCATGAGGTGCAGCACCCGCTCAGTGTAAGGAACAAATGCCGCTTCAGAAGCCGCAGCAGCTGACCCTATGGCAGACTACAGCACAAACTGGTGTCAGTCCGGATATACAATAATCACAGCTTTACCATCATGCAGCTATGAAGGAAGAAATCATACGCACGGTAAAAACATGGCTTGGAAAAAGCGTCACAGTATCAAGGAAGTTGTAAATACCATGCAAGTCTCCTGAATATCTCGGCGAGGGCTTTGCAGAGCCTCCATCAACTTTTCCATAAGTGGGCCCAAGTAAGGCAAAATTTCCTCCTTAAGATTCTCACAGAATGCGGCCAGTGCATAGAATGCTTTCTCCTGTAATCAAAGATATTCAGATTGTGTCAAAATTGTGTGTCCTGTAAAAATATCCTTTGAAGATGCAGCGCTAGGTTATAAAGCTACTACTTCACATCATGACTTCATCTCAATACATTACCCTACTGCTAATATTCTAGGGCAGTGAGGCATACGGCATAAAAGAAGCAGGCGCAAATTGTTGAAAACTACGATACGATGAAAATTTAAGAGCAGAGATATTTCTCGCATCAACTGTCATCGAAGTGATCGAATATACCCGTATCAATTGTATACTAACCTGCACATCTGGCACAGCATCACTGAGAACTGCGAATATACATGGAAGGACACGCTCGTAGTGTTCGCTGATTTCAGGCTGTAGATGCTCCGCAAATTGACCTAGTGCGAAACTTGCAGCCCCTCTCACCGCCTTCACATCAGGACAAGATGTTTCATCAACATAAAATAAGAGTAGCGTCTCTAAACAAGCTAGAGCACAAACGTGAAACCCATTCCTAGAAAAAGTAAAATCTGTATATGTAAGGCTATCAGCAATTTTCTTGCACAATCATGCATTGCTCGACACACACAACGGAGAAGACAATGACGGTGGAGCTATCACTGCTCATATCCAGAAGCAATCCAGGGGGTCATTACAACCAACAGACATATCTAACCAAACTACAGTTGTTTACATTTCACAGCACCTGCTCTTTGTCCTTCAATGCTTCTAATACAAGTGAAAGAACGTCCTCTAGCCGGGACTTCATGGCTTCGTAACAACCTTCCGATATCACACCCAATGACATAACTGCTGCATCCCTATAATTGGGATCTGGATTGTGAAAGTTAGACGTGGCAAAATGCAGAACTGGTGGAAACACATGTTTCTTAGGCAGGCTTGTAGCCATGGTATCAAGGACTTCAGCAGCCGCCCTTTCACATGCAATATCATCCTCATGAGTTCGAGATTCAGGTTCAGCTAAGATGGGGCATATAACCGACAGAATAGGAGTAACCATTTTGTGTTTCACCAATGTCTTGGGTTTGTACTTCGCCAACCAAAATATGATTTGAATTGCCTGCAAGAGAACGTAATGAATATTTACAATCAATCTTAAGCGCACACAAGCGATTGACCAATGCAGAAAAAACCCACTAGCCTAATGGTGACGGAAAGCTAAAAAAGAGGGAATGCAAGACGCTCTTCACCTGATGACGAGTGTTGGCTTCGAGGTGCTTGTTTGAGCAAACCTCAAGTGCAAATTGTACAATCACAGGGATAGTCGGTCCCAGTACCGGAGCTGCTGATTCAATTAACTCATCAAAAATTTCAAATGCTAATATAGCCACATCTTCATCGCCATTGGCAAGACACAAGCGCGAGACGTTCAAGATTGGTGGAATCAACTCTCGGAACATCATCTGCAGCAAACAAACTAAGTCAACAACTATGACAGAATCCGGGCCGAGACCGAACGAATTCGCGAAATATCCCAAGCATGAAGATCGTCTTGCAACAGAATTGATAAATAATTTCAGATCAAATAGTCAATAAGAAGTCCCCCAATGTGACTCGGCATAAATATGAATACTTACAACTTCCTGTTCAGACTGAATGTAGCCCACAAGTGCTCCGACAGCCCTGCATTAAGAAAGTGCGCCAGCTGCATTAACCCACTGTATATAACAATGAAGGCAATAAAAAGTATCACATCTCATCATGTCATTAATAATCCAAGCTGAACGACTACCAAGAAATCTACTTCAAACCTAAAGAAGAACTCCCTAAGCCAGTTATTGTGCAGTTCCTGAATCCAGAGAATGCACGAGATAATTATCTTCAGGACCTCATTATTTGGCATTGAAACTATGTTTCATGGACTGTGAGTGGTAAACTACCGCGGTAAAAAATTAAAAAAAAAAAAAAAAAAAAAAAAAAAAAAAAAAAAAAATTGGAGAGCCTGAAGCTTACTTAAGTGCAGCCACACGAACTCGGTTGCTCTGTTGGTCATTTAAACCAGTAATGAAAACACTTTGGAGAGTGGCAAAATGAGGACGAAGAAGGTCGCCAATGGTCTCTGTCAAAGAGCTGAAAAGAATCAACGCCACCTATTTTGAATGAAACACGATGTAGTGAGAACCCCCATATTTCCGACTACAAGACTACAACCACCCATTCACTGTAACCGCACAGAACACTTCAGGCAAGTGCCTCTGTGGGAGGTTATGGACATGGCCAGAGTAACAACTGAAATTACTACCATCCACATCCTACTATACTTCAAGATAATATGTGGGGCAAAGGTAGATAGGCCCTACATAATTGTTATACAAATGTCCCGGCCCTGACGAAAAAAGGATACAGAACGAACACTTACTTCGCGGTGGTCTTCCTGAGCACTCTGACTGCACTGATGGAGGAATGGCAACAGTTCTGGCCATTCTCCTGCAGGCACTGCGTGTTTGGCAACTACACTAACGACGTCGGCGCTCCCCCTTCTGACTGGAGGGCTGTCACGAAGACACCAGAAAAATTAAGCAACGAACCAAAGTGCACATTACAACTCGATGCCCCAGACACTTCCGCGAAACATAAAAGCAACAAATCTGAAGGAGGAAGTCCTCCAAAAAGGCCGAAGGTATTTATGAGCAGAACCCCTAAGCGCCGCATCAAGTTATCTGATGCAATACATTACTGCGCTGCCTCGACGCTTCAAACATCACGTTACCCAGAAATTGATTCGGATCAACAGATCCACAACAAGTCCACCGCTCTAAAGTGACTCATCTACACATTGTAGAACAATACTTTAAAAACCAGAGCTCTTTTTATGGATTCAGCAAGCACCAGTGGTAAATAAATTTCTCACAAGCCTGGTCATTCCCCGAATTCGAGACAGAATGAGTAAAACGTCTATAGAAAATGGAATTGACTGCTAAATTCAAGAGTAGGATAAACGGAAAAAACGCCTGTCAAAAGTACCGTAAATCACGTCTCATACAATTCGAAAGTCTGAACTTAATAACCGGCACGACACAGCGAATCTCCGAGCAGAGCAGTCACATTAATGGTAAAACGAAACCGGATGTACGTGAAAAGCTACTACCTAGATAGCATACAGAAAGCGGGTCTTCTATGTTAGTAACATAATCCAGAATCATTACGTTGGCGTGCAGATTAAAAACCAAAAAATCGATGAGCTCAGAAAAAAAATCTCGAGACAATTACTTCGGTGAGATACCAATCTAATACAAAGGTGCGTGTGTCAGGTGAGGGGTACACTATATAGCGGCCTGAGAATCAAATCAAGCTGGATTACTCTCACTGCGAAGTACTTCCGTTGATGTACTAAACAAAAACAAGACAAACAAGAAAAAAGACAGCTATGAAACAAAAACGGGAAAAGGGAATAAACATGCATTTACCACTACACACTATCAATGACAACAAATAAGAAAAAATCCTCGACAACAATGCCCTAAACTATCCAACACCAAGAAATAAATAATAAAAATAACAACAATAAAATAAAATAGTAAAATCCCCACGTCTCCACACACCTATTCTCCAGGGTGATACTTTCCAGCAAGGTAGACTTGACATTGTTGCGCATCTCCGCAGACAGCTGCATCCAGTGCCCGGTGATCTTCTTCCTCAGCAACACAGCAGCCAATTGGCGAACCTCAGGGTAAGGAGAGCAGCGCACGTGGTGCAACAAAGCGGGCACGAGAAGCGGATCCTTGGAGAGGCGGCGGATCTGCTCCTCGGCCTGCTTCCGACTCGCGTTGTCGGGCACCAAAAATTGGCCCAGAAGCACGCCAAGCTGGTCCATGGCGAACAAACTCCAGGCCCCTAAGAGAGAGCGGATTAGGTCTTCTCAGCACCTCCCCTTTCTCACGGATCTCCCTCCCCTCTGCTGCGTCGCTGCAATCCCGAGCTCCGCAGCTTCATAGACACAAGCAAAAATCCACAGCGAGCGAGCCTCCTCGCCACAGACACACAAGTTCGGCAGTTGAGTTACACTATTCTCTTTGAAGGGGTTTAGGGGACGGCTCCCGTCCCCCGGACGCTGCCCCGCACCTCCCCGACCTCCGGACTTGGTCTTGTGGATCCTGCAATCGCGTGGTAAGTCTGGGTTTGCAGCACAAGGCAGACCTAGGCGTGCTTTGGAGGGCGACGTGGGTTTGCTGACGGCGGGCGTCATCGGTCGCCGACCTTCGGTTGCGGCGTGTTCTGCACCCTCAGTTGGTTCTTGCCCCCGCTTTCGATGGGGTTGGGAGTGGCTTAATCGGCATCGGACAGTCCATCGGATGAATGTTGGATGTACGTCAGTCGGTGGACGTATCATTCTGTTCGTACGCTTTCATCCTGGTGGTATTATTCAGTGGGGCTTTGGCACAATTGGGACCAAATAATAATTTTATTGCCAGATACTGCCTATCTATTTTGTTGCCATTTATTCGAAGTCTTTGGGATCCAATTTGGCGTAGATTTTACTGTTTTTTGGAATTGTGAGTTTCGTATTGGCTTCAAATTCTTGGCGGTCTTTTTCTACACATGTGTTGGTAACTTGTGAAGTTCTACGATCAATAAATAAATAAAATGAGTGCATATTTGTAGTTGTAGAGACACATGCACAACACAAATACAAGATTGGTTTATTCAAGAATAGTAAGTATGTTTATTTTGAATGCATCATCTTATTAAAGTATTGATTAATTTTTATTTTGGGCTAAATAATCATACTTCTTACTCCAACTTGAGAAGAAAGTGCTTGTATTTTTAAGTATATTGATTGACATTTAAGTCTTGCTCTTGGGCCTTTTTTCAGGTGAACCATGGTGGTTGTGTATTGCTTTGATCATCATCTTACAAATTCGTTTGTTGTTAGATTGAATATTGGAAGTGTACTTGTTATTTTAGTTAAATATAGAACCCAACATCAATAAAATTTGTGAAAAACCATCATACCACAGAATAAAACATTCATTTTTGGTTTACATTCCATGTAAAATATGTTACTGTATTTTTGCACTTCCTGTGTATCACTAGTATTTATTAAATACCTACGATTTATAAATGCATATGATTATCGATGTTATTTACAATTCAACATGTATTCACCATTTTAACACACACACACACACATTAATAGTGATTTGTTTTGTATGCAACTAAAATTTATTATTTTTCTGTATTTAAAATTTTTTTGTGGGGGGGGGGGTTATTCACAGGACATTCATTGATTTCTTAAAACTCTTTAGATGAATAAATATATCAGATCTTACATGCTTACCACTTTTGTTCTTATGATAACATATCATGTTGCTCATGAATGCTAAAAATGTGCAACTAATGATTTAATTTATTAATTGAGTTATTACAATTTCAAAAGAAAATATATATAATGTTTTCGATTTTTCTGTCAATTGATAAAAATAAAATATAACTTAAGAATCTAATTAATGATCAACACAAAAATAGTTTTTTAAAATGTAGTAGTTTTATGTAGTTTTTGAAATATAAACGTTCTCATTTTCGGGCTGAAGAGAATTTTATCACAAATGTAACAACTACCAAATGAATTATGAAATATATATTACATATAATATTGATGAAAATTATAATATCTGAATCTGAATAAAAGATAAAATTTAAAATACGAACTAAATGTTTAAATAGCAATCAATAAAAATTGATTTATGTAAAAATGAGCAACAACATTCATTCTATGATAGAACACTCAAGAATACATATGCAAATTCGTTACATTTCTATGTTTGTACGAATAATTAAAGCAATCATTAAGAACTTCTTAACATATAATTTCTTGTTAGAATATATTTTAATATTATATTTTAGATTTCCTTCTCTAACTTATAATTTATAATACTACTACAAAACAAGTCATCTATTCCTACACGCTAGTGATTAACCCATAAAACAATAACAACAACAACATTTTCTTTCTTTTCTGTTTTTTTATTTTTTATTTTATTTTTATTCATCTAATTATCAAACTCAATGTAAATTAACTCAAGCTTCAAAATGAAATTCAACTGATAGTTGTGGACTGTTAAAAAAATAAATTTCTACTATATCACAATATTTGAATTTGGTAAAGAAAAAAAATTGGAACTATAATTGTATAAAGAAGCCATATACAGTAAACTACAGTTTTGTTAAATAGATGATCATCTATATTTAATAACATCAACAACAACACTTATTACTGCCTAAATTTATTAAACTTTTGATCAGGATTTTTTGAAATTCAAACGCATCACAAATATTAAAATCATAAAATTTAAAATAAAAGTTGGTAATGATATTATTTTGCCAATGATTTTATTACATGTTAAACGTATTATCTAAAGAACAATATCAAATACTATCTGAAACTTCAAAACTAAGGGTATATTGAACTAAGTATTACAAAAATTTCAGCATTGCAGAAGTTAGGCAGTCATATGAATGAGTAAAGTACTATTAAATGATAACAAATGGTTACAATCACAACAACTTTATCCAGATTAAATAACCAACCAGTGAACACGACACAGCAGAACAGGAACCTCTAGTATCTGTTTAACAAAGGCCATGAATAAGGAAATAAATGATATGGAAGAAATAAGCGAGTTTAGTAACTCATCAGAAGGGATTTTAGTGACACTAGCACCAGGCTACAAATGTTCTCATTGAAGAATCATAATTGTATCCAAGGTGATTTAGAGAGCCTTTGCAATTGATCTCTAAAACAAAACCAACCTCTTGACTTCACCTTTTCTCAACCTCGAAGTGAAACCAGAGGTCTTGACTATCCGACCTCTCTCTGCTTGAAGCTCAGCTGCTTTCTCTAACAACCTCCGCCTGTACTTGATACGACCATTAGGTCCAACCTCGTCATCTGCAACCTTAACATAATAGATGGCATTAGCTGCATCTAGTAAAGAATGTGTGATAACAAAAATAGCTGAGAGTAACACAAAACCACACCCAATTATGTTCTGTGTCTATCAAGGACACAGTAACTGTTTGAGTTCACACATGGGAATCGAGAGGTATGGTTTAGTTGTCCTTCGAAGTTTTCTCCAGTATGGTGATCATCTGGTTCAATATATGTGCCCTGAGAACCTGCAGTATTGGATGGAGTCATGCTACAGACCACCCTGGGAACAGATGCGGTGTTAGGAGAGTCAACAGGAGAAACCGGAGGATGTGTAGGGGAAACATCACGATCTAGGAGTGTCGGTAAGAAGTAAAACCCATCCACTGATTCTTCATTGTCGCTAAATGCAGCCACTTTTTCTGTTGTCAAGATATCCACATTGGCATCTTCATCAACTTGTAATGGTTTAACCTGTATCTTGGAAAATGCATGTGAAACTATGCACAAACACAGGAAGATTCTACTGAGAATTGGAGTGCACCTGATTTCAAAAATCTGGAAAAACTATGCACTCCAATTCTCAGTATAATCTTTAGCCCAAAAGTATATAACACCCGACATAGATACTGAGGTAACAACTGGACGAGTTGGGTGCCAAGCCAAATCAGCCAATCCTTCCTTTTGAGCTTCCACTATACGAGCCAGTCGTCCAAAATTCCTGGGAAACATCGGAGTTTTATTGTGAACATAGCTCAGGTTTAAGCAAAGTAATAAAAAATCATCCAGGTGAATCATCTAAAACCAGGATACCATCATAGCCTACTTACGATCAAGAGGTTGAAGGTCACCCACAACAATATGAAGTCGCATACAACAATAAATCGTGAATCTAGTTTAGTTTTCGACCACAAACTGTTTTAAAGAACTGACGCCACTAACTGCAAGGTGAGACGCTAGATATGCTTAATCCCAAGCAATTAAGAACATAAAAAAAGGTGAGTTGCGAATTTTGCAGCATTGAATGTTTCAGGCTGAGGGAGGTGATGAATAACCTGTTCCAAATGTGGATTTTATACTCTCCTTTGCTACAGGAAGCTCCAACTATACACTCACAATCCCCATTGAAACATGTCACCTTCCGGTGCATCTTATTTACAGTGTCTCGAAAATCTTGTGTGAATTTGAGGAATGAAACATCCCGAGACATGTTAACCCCTTTTTCTTTCTGATCAATTAAAAAAGCGAGAGCTTTGACGGCACCATTCCTTGGAAAAAGGTTCTCGAATACTCAAGATGCGGTCCGTAGAATTTTAAGAAGAAACTCGCCGTTGCGGCTGAAGACAATCTGTCTGATTACAGCGTTTCCTAGGACCTGCATCACGTAACTGGTCATGTTTATAAGAAGAAAGTGGGTGAAAACTTTTAGCAAGCAAGAATTTACGTGTCGAGTAAAACCATTACCTCCTGACTCATAATGAGAAAAAATTTCACAGAGATATTGTTTCAGACCAAACTCATTGCTGTCAAACATGATGCATATTGGAGTAACAATCAAATGCCAATTGTTAAACAGCTAAAGAACTACTGCGTATCCACAGCGCATACTCGTAGAATCCACGGTGCAACAGATATGCACTAAGTAAAATGATTTACTCAAGTTTAAGAACAAGAAGATGGCCAAGACAAAAATCACGTAATCACTCTAACCTTATCAACAATAACTTCTAATTTGGATCAGCAAAGTCCACGATTTTATTTCACTAACAAGTTATTGGAATAAGTAAATGAATAACTAATTTACTACACTACCAACGAAAAGATGAAATCCAAGACGAAAATACGTACAAAGACCAAGTGGAACTAGCCCGAGAAACCGATAGCTCAACTGCACAACTGTGCAAGTTTGTCTTCTGTGTGTGTCGATCACCAATATTTCTCCTTTAAAATTTCCAACATATATAAGGTCTCCTTTCTTGTTGAAACTCGAGGCTGAAGGGAAGTAAGGTGCACTTGCTTCCCCACATTTACCACTACGAGCTGGTTAAACACCATTTTCTCCATCTCCGGAAGCGACTAGCACAGGAAGCGCCTGTGTCTTCCCTGTTTGACACGTTCATTGAAAACCACAGTTAAACAATTGATAATTATCCAAGAGAAATTCAATAATCAACAAACACTCACAGGTTTAAACCCCCTGCAGAGTACCTTATCCACTTGAGTTGTCTGGTTTGTTTATTGAGAGGGACATTCAAATCGCATACCTAGAAGATCATCTCAACGTAAACTAAAACAACTCAACCAGATGTTAGCAATTTGGCGTATAACTCCTGCTACTGTTCAGACTTCAAATTGGCAAATCTTCACACACAGTTTTGACTAATTCCTTTCCAAGCTTCTTAAGTAAGATTGAGACTTTTCAGGACATGTCAACTAATAACTCACATGTAAAACCGAAAACTTCTGGTCAATATGACATGTCCGTCAGGGTATTTGTTACTTAAGGGCAGTCATAAAGTTCACAAGCGTATGGTGCTGCAAGTCTGGAGGTCAAAGCATAATGCAATCACCAAAACATATCTATGTCAAAATTTACTAATATTGGTGCTCCGGACATTGGACAGTCCAAACATACAGATGGTCGTTTAGTTCCTGGGTACGACGAGTCGAGCATTGAAATCCCAAATTGTGCATGATCCATCATTGCATCCAGCTAAATAATACAAACAGTATCGTGACATAAGTATGCGGTGCATGAAGAACGCGTTACAACGCACCGATGATTCATCGCTTTACAAAAATGAACCTACCAGACAACTACTTTAAGGGATAAGCACCCCTAGTATCACGAAGCAATCCATTTACTACGGCTGTTTGATGCTTTGAACTGTCCGATTCATACTGGATTGATATCGTGAGGATGAAACACTTCGTCCTGTGCATTAAAAGCATTAAAAACGAGCAGAGCCAGCGAGAAGTGTTCCACTTCGATTGAATGAAATGCACTTAGTGACCCCGTGCTCTAAATACTCTATTACTTCTGGAAAGCCATTTTGAAACGGATCTTCATACACAGAAACGAGTCAGAACACGAATTATTGTAACGTAGGTTTTGGCTGGAAATTCTATCGAAATCTCGAAAGTTCTCGTGGTGCGTAATTTTTTTCAAAATGCCCTTTCTGGAGTTGAAAGATCTGACGTGCAGGAAAAAAAATGCATAGAATACACGTTGAGACTATATCATAAGAACCTGTACCAGCAATCAAAGGATAGTGCAAACGAAACTCAATCGCGCAAGTCCAGAATTCAGACCTGAGACAATGCACAAAGAGTAGGGTTGAAACTTGTGTGATAATGAGCTGAACATTATAATATTAAAGATGAACTTTCAGGCTGCGGCAGTCTCTGTGTGTCTCAAGCACGATTAACAATAAGAAGAAGTCCATGAGGCTCAACTTTTCTGCGTACAAGAGGACCGAGGTAAAGAAGAAGCTAAAACTAAGCAACACCATTGGTTTCCTCGCTCCCTAAGGAATGTGACACCTCCTATACATGCAGAAGAACATGCAAATTCTGAATTAAAGCGATGCAATTCATTTTCGAATGCGAGTAAGAAGAGGTATTTTGTTTTTAGACAAAACAAAAAAAAAAAAAACGGAGCGACAAAAAAAGTAGAAAAAGAATTCACATGAATCGCTTTATTCTCGCACTATCAGAGAACTATTTTTCAATATAGACAAATTGACAACAAAAACCTGGAAGGAAAGAAAGGAAGAATGACATCACTGAAACCCTAAACCTTGCGAAACGCAAATGCAAAGTACAGATACTTCGAAACCAGCACTAGAAACGACCTCCAAAACCGTAAGTTATATTCATGGAAGAAATCCAATTCATTCAACAAGTAAAACACCAAACATGAGCTAAATGCTTTATGTATGTATATACATATATATATATATATATATAATTAACAATTACCCGTGATGGTTTGGTATTATTTAATAATATTTTGAATTAATCCAAATTGTTGTTTGTGCAGAGTGATGAAATATACTGAGCTTAATGTAATACATGTGACGGGTATCAATAAATGTGACCCACTTTACTAAAATTTCACCTTGAGTATAATATTTGTTAGATTCATAGTAAACATATCAACTCTTCAAAGCTCTTTGATTAGATATGGCATTCTGTAAATGTGTGATATTCTTAATGAGTTTGATATAATTTTCAGTAAAATGATGCTTTGGAGTGGTATGCTTACAAAATTGTGAATTTTATAACTTTTAAATATACTGCTCTTTCAGATTTTATTTCATAGAAACCAAAACTATTCTATCGTGCATGTAAACATTTATGATATTTTACACATGTAATGTGAATTGATTGTATACTAGATTATATAATATACTTTAAACTTGTTGATGTAAAACATTTCCAGTGATTAGATGGAGAATTCATATGAGTGATTTGATCCAATGATTTTTATTGATTCATGAAGCACCTTCATCAAAATCTGAAAAAATCATCAATTTACACACTTGAATGATATCAACAATTAAAACAGTTTTTTTTTTTTTTTTTTTTTTTTTTTTATAAGTATTTTTGTTTTCAACATTAAATTGTTTTTAGGCTTCATTTCAATTTAACAATTAATACTGTTTGTGGTACATATCATTCAAAGTGAACAAAATTTGTGTGTTCAAAATCACATGATGGATATCTCACAAATATAACAAGTTAGCATAATCACTACCAAGAGTGGTAATTCTACATTTACAATGCATTAATATTGTTAATACATGTGATTATTTAAAGATATATAAAAGGAATCATTTACGTTTACTAAAACACATAATATCATATAATATGATATTTAAAAAAATAAAAAAAAACTTTGATTTCAACATGACATTAACTTCCATTAATATTAAACGCAATTCAACATGAAGTTCTCATACTTATTTAACATTGTATCAATTCTCATTACTAGAGGATTGATGAATAGACAAACTTCATATACTTATCAATTTATTTTCTCATTTTGTGATTTAAAAAAATAAAAATAGTATCTAAATTATAAACGTAGTCGTCTCCGCACCGACGCCTCGGAAACCCTAATTCCTGTTGTGGTTACGAAGATTCACGGGCAACGATGTCGATCCCATTCCGGCGCGTCTGGGTCCTGCTTCCTTGCCAGTCTATCCATCGTGTCCTACCCCGCAACGCCTCCGAGGTTCCTTCCCCTGGACTTTTTAAAATATGATTTTCCCATCTTTTGGGGTTGTTTTTTCAGCTTTAGACGTGACTCTGCGGTCGGTTCCGACTTCCGACTTGCGAGCTGGAGTGCACCAGACGTGAAGCGTTTTTGTGTCCATACTGTACCCTAGAGTGTTCGTGTATCATAGTGTTTTTTGCGAATTTCCATCTCTGTGCGAATAGCTCGGGCTTTCTCTTGCGAGGTTTGTGGTGGTGGGGAGAATATTCGGGGTTTTGGTGCGAATCGGACTTGGGATTAGGTGCGCGATGGTGATCAAGAGGGCCGATGATGGAGTATCGCTGTGGGAGAAGCGGGTCTACGTGACATAGATGGTGTGGATGAGTGAGGAGATGGAGGATTGGTAGGCAAGCATGCATTTCGGAGCTAGGGGTTGTGAACAAGGGAGCGCGGGAAAGAGGGATTGAAGGGAGTTAGGGTTCGGGTACAGGGGAGGGAGATGGCATCCGAAATTGAGATTGTGGCGGAAGGAGGAACGGTGCGAGAGAATGGCGAGGTTTCGTCTGCTGGGGATGGTTTGAAATCTGATGAGGATCAGAAGAAGGATGATGTTTTCACTGCTGCAGCCTACGGGGATGTAGAAAAGCTGCGCAGATTGGTGGAGGTCAAGGGTTTCTCTGTAGTGGAGCCTGATTCTGGTGGATACTACGCGTTGCAATGGTGTGCGTTAAATAATCGGCTAGCTGCTGCCCAGTATCTAATTGAGGTGATTTCTCTAGTTTTCAAAAGTCGCATTCTGTCCCTGCAATTCCTTTCCATGACACTCTATCTCTCTCAGTGAGAATTTAATAGTAACGACTTCATGATCCTCCCGGTCCTTCCTGTTGTGGATATTTAATTTTTCTCAATACACCTGTTCCACTAGGTCTTCATCTCCATGACTTACTCATGAGTAATTTTGGTACGCAGCATGGAGCAGACATCAATGCCACTGATTTTACTGGACAAACTGCTTTGCACTGGACAGCTGTGCGTGGCTCTATACAAGTGGCGGAGTTGTTGCTTCAGAGTGGAGCTCGCATTGAATGGGCAGATTCTCATGGATATCGGGTGCGCTTTTCTCATCTACTTTACGCTTGCTTCGATTGTAGGTGATAAAACTTAAATGCGCAACTTGATAAGTTGTAATAGCTTCTTTAAGGCAACTCAGAGAGATTTTGAAGTCTGTGTTTGGTTGTACTTCAGACATCCCACGTGGCTGCCCAATATGGACACACTGCCCTGCTATATCATATCGCCACAAAATGGGGTGCCGAAGTGGACCCTCCTGACCATGATGGACGCAGCCCTCTGCATTGGTAGGCCTTGATCCATTCAGCCCTTTGGTTAGAGGGTCACCAGTTGAACAAATTCGTCTCTGGAGAATCTAGTTCCCAATCCTGCATTGTCTAGTTTAACCTTTTTGCACTACCAACACCAGCTATTCGGACATTTTCAGAGTTATTCTCCGTAATCGAAGCAAAATGTCGTATCATGCGTTGCTTTTCAGGGCTTCCTACAAAGGATTTGCAGATTGTGTTCGATTGCTACTTTTTATGGACGGTTACCTGGATCGTGCAGATAAAGAAGGTATGCAGTGAGCGCACGTTGTTTGTATATGAGGCGTTGAGAATTGTACTATGGATGGGATTTACGTCTTCACAGAGTCGCTATTGACCATCACTACTAACTTTTGTCGCTGTTGGTCCCTGGGTTTCGTATCACTTCTTGTCTCTACTTTACTGAAGTTGTTCACGCTGTCAACGTGAAAGATATGGTTGCCGTGATGAAAGCACATTTGATTCCTAAGTTCAAATTTTGATTTGTTCTGGCAGGGTGCACACCGCTGCACTGGGCAGCAATCCGGGGTAACCTGGAAGCTTGTACAGTTTTGGTTCAGGCAGGTAGTCTAGAAAACCTGCTGACAAAGGAGTCTACTGGATGTACCGCAGCACAGTTGGCAACCGACAAAGGGCACCGTCACGTTGCTCTATTTCTGGTAACGCATGTCGTTTTAGTAAAATTATGTTGAAATATAAATGTGATGTTGATCGATGTCTCGATTTTTACTATTGTTCTGTAGTTCATTCCTATTAAAAAGTAGGACTTATAGTTGTGTGAGAATACGAAGCTTTATCTTAGAGGAGGAGTTCTTGTTTTCAATTTCATCCCCCCCCCTTTTTAATTATTTTTTTTTTTTAATCATCCGGACATCTCGTTTTTAGTTGCTGATGTTTGATAGGTGGCTCTTCCTTGCTTTGACTTGTACTTTCTTTTCCCTGACGCTTCTTTTTGATGTGGATTTTGGATTCAGACAAATGCTCAAAGAGTTTTTACAAATCGGTGGGATGAAAACAACCGTCTTGGGAGGTTTGCCAAGCTTGGCTTGGCTCCTGTCCTTTGGGTTATTATTATTGGCCTACTTCTTGTTTTTATCAACTCTGTAATTACATGTACGTATTTTCTATATTTTATGCTTTACATTGTATATTTGTTCTTTGTTGGTAGCGCTTTTGTTGAGAAGCCTTCAAAGGTGCTTTGTTGATATGTTTCCACGAATTGGGGTAACACTGAACGGAACTTTTGGGCTATTTTTTTTATTTGAACGGAAATTTCATCTCATTCTTTTTCATGGCTTATATCTAGATCATCTAGCTATGTGTGAGTCGTTTAGGCTGAAATTGCGTTTGGGTGGTTTTTGTATTGCAAAAGCGAGATCACTGTTAACCATAACAGCTGGAGATGGATTTTGGGCTTGTTTGGTCATCATATTGGCTAGTGGCGGTCTTTTCCTTCTTTACCGTTGTACCAGGTTTATATCTCTGTAATGCTTTTTTTGGTTTGCTGGTTGTTTTGATGAATATGGTCCTATTTAGGTAAGGATGTAATTACCCTGAACGGATAGTAGATACAATAGTGTCGTTGCTTGTTGCTTGGTATGCTAAATCTTGATAGATACTAGTACCAAAATATTACATCAGCTGTATTCTGCCAGATCTTTGTCGAGAGATTTACTTTTTGTCTATGTATATCACTGGTATCGGTGGGGGCTGAGTTGTTGCCGACGACTTGATTTGCAGTAAGGATCCGGGCTATATTACTCAAAGGCGTGGACATCCGAGAGAGAAAAATCATGACGTAAGTGAACCTAACACTGTCCTTTTTTGTCTGGTATGTAACACAAGTACAAGTGTATTCGTCAAGTATATGCCTCCCTGGCTGTGGATTGCTATACATTAGCCACTTCATAAGATTTAGCTCAGTCGTAATTGGAGCTTAGTGCCGTGGAAAATATGATCTTCTAAAGTGGATTACTATAAATCCTTGTTTATGCCCGTATATATTCACAGGAGCCTCTTTTGAAAAGCGACTTGAGCAGCCCAGCGTTGTGGGCAGGTTATTGGGCGCAGTTATGTCCCACTTGCAAGGTTCGACAGTCAAACTATCTGTAGTCTCCGATTTTACTTTCTTTTGTTATTTGACTCCCACTCAGTTATCATAATAGCTTTTGAAAAAGAGTAATCCCTTTTCGTACGTGAAAAGACTACGACAGAGTTCAGATTCAGATTTCACAATGGACAGTCTGATATCGCAAGTTGCTAAGTCTTGGTTGCTTGTCCTATAGATTGTGCGCCCATTGCGTTCCAAGCACTGCACTTCATGCAACCGGTGTGTCGACCAATTCGACCATCATTGTCCCTGGGTTTCAAATTGTGTTGGCAAGGTGAGCTTCTTACTGCTCTGTCCCTCTTCTATTTTCTTTCCAACGATACCTTTTGCGATTCTGAACTTTGTTATTTGAAAGGGAAGTCTGGTGTTTCTGGCACACATCTTTTTCACTACTTACCTTTTGTCAGACATGTTACTTGTGGTTACGTATGGGTAATAATGTTAGTATTGCCTGTCTTGGAGAGACGTCTTCTGGGTACAAAGGAACATGATTTTGTATCCGCTGACATTGTTATAATAGATTCTCGTTGCTGTTGGCTTGTGTTCTACAGAACAACAAGTGGGATTTCTTTGTTTTTCTGATCATGGAGGTCACAGCACTGGTCATCGCATTAGCTGTAACTGTTCACAGTAAGCGATCTTGACTTGTTATGATGTATCATTGTGGGTAATGCTATTCCATTTATGCATTCTTCTCAGTTTCAATTATATCTGGTAATAGATTTTCCAGTCCTCTTAGGTAATTATGAGGATGGATAATTATATTACGTAAGTCAGTCCTGTTATATCTGCACAGTTATTCTTGGTCGGGCTCAATGCGCCAGTATTTATATACGAAATTATTTTGCTTGTCATAGGGTTGTGGTTTGACCCAACAGCGCCATCTGGGGGTGGGAAATTCCTTCAGCATGTTGCATTGTACCACAGTAGTGCACTTGTATTTTTAATTGGAGATGTATTTCTTCTACTTGGTGTTGGTACATTGACCGGAATGCAAGCCGTGCAGGTATGTTCATTCATCCGTTTCTATCAGTTGTCTTCAAGAAATATGATATCTCCACATTTTGACATTCATCACTGGAGTCATTAAACCTTAAGTTGGGTTCTTGTTCCTCTCTTCACTACGTTTGGGTTAGTGAGGATCTGAGCGAAAGCAATGCTTTTGTTGTCTTAATGAGCTGCTTTGTCTTTTGGTATACAGATAGCACGGAATATCACTACTAATGAGATGGCAAATTCCTTGAGGTACACGTATCTGAAGGATGCTGAGGGTCGATTTCGCAATCCGTATGATTCTGGTTGTCGTAAAAACTGCGTTGATTTTTTTCTTACTGGCTACAATGAAGACATAGAAGTGCCGTGGGAACCCATTCGGCAACATGGAGGTGTGATACAAATGGGTGACAGGTAAAAAATCATGTTTGTTGCTTCGCTAGAATGATACTTTTAATGGCGCTGAAACAAGTTTTGGTTTTTAAAGTGATCTGCATTTTAACCGTGATTATAAAAACTTTTTGTTTGTTAGAAATTTGGTCAGATTGCAGCATCAATTAGATAATTTTGCCATTATTTGCTGAATTGCAAGTGCTCCATCTGGGTACAGGTCTGTGGCGGCAGGTACACTGGGTTCTAGCCTGGCTGGAGTGGTCGGCCAGAACTCGACCAATGTGGCCAATGGATTGAGAAATCATGTACACTCTTCAACATGTTCCCATAACCATCATGGCGACACTCCTAGCGGCCACACCCCGTTAGGATTAGGAAATCTTGACCTACCCAATCATGGCAACCAGGAACGGGACCGCAACGCTTAGAAAAACCTCAAACAGGAATATCCTTTGGGGGCTTGTATTGATTTAGTTAATGGAGGTGGTTGCCAGTCGCCGCTTGAGTTTCCTTCAATTTATACACTTGCTTCGTCACATGACTTTGGTCACTTTCTCTGATGAATGGAGCACCGTGGTTGTCTGGATTTGCAAGAAATTAATATGCTTCTCACTACCATTAATCACTTGCTCAATCTGCTTAGTCTATATACCTGGCTATTCATTAAACTCTACCAGGTTATATGATGAAATTGTTACTCAAGTGAGTAGTTTTGTCTTACTGGGTTGACAAGACAAAGCATAATTCCTGGTTTGTGGGGCCCTAACTTTGCGTATAATGGCATTCTGGTGTAATTTGAACTAAGTTTGTGTTGGCTCAATTTTGTGAGTAACGATTACTTGTTGCCATGTGGATTGTTTGCAGTTGTACGCGTTTGCTTGTTTTTGTCAATATACGATAGACTTTGTTGCTAGTATCGACCAATAATGGGAAATGTAGGTAAATGATTTCATATTCGTGGAACAGAACGGGTTTTGCTTCTTCTGTTGGTGGTTTCACTTCGTTTCATTTGCTCTAATGACCTCTTCTGATCACTGTTTCTTCTTGAAGTGATTTATCTGCTGTTTATTACAGTGGCTTCTGCAGGCAGCCTTCGTTGATTTGCTTTGATTTCTTGGTTCGTTTGTTTGCTAACCTCTAGTAGCCTTCATTCCGTCATGTTGGCCTTGATTTCTCCATGCCGTCATTACCCTCCTCTTTGCTGTTATGTTAATTAAAGTAGTTCTCAGGCTCGTTTATGATAACAATGTTAGTAATGTTACGCTGATTACGCCTTTTTCTTCACTTTGGACAGTGTCAAAGTAATATTTGAAAAAGATAGCCACAAAGTTGAGGTTTAGAAATGTAGAACAGATTCTTTTCTAAGAAATTTGAACAAATATAGATTTAAAAAAAACTGAAACTAATAAGTTTGATTATTATGCAATTTTCATTTTATTGAAATAGCCTTTGTTCAAATCATTTCAATTTAGATAAGATGTCTATTTAAAAATGTTTTCAAATAATGACAGCTAATGTAATAGTTATCTTTTGTTTCATAAAAATACATCTGTATAATGAATTAGTATGTGGATATTTTAAGTTTGTGTTGTTTCATGTCTCATTTAATGATCAATTTATTAAATTTGAACATTTAAAATTTGATTGTAACATGTATTACATAAACTTTTAATTTCCCCTAATTTATAAATTTTTGCATGCATCACATTTGCAATACCAAAATTTGACACAGAATTAAATGTTATGTTTTCAACTAAAAATTTGGTATCTTAATATTTTTATTTTTGAAATCTCAAAAAGCTGTTATGTAATAATCTTTAGCTATATATATATATATATATATATATATTAATGCTAAAAATGTTTAATATTGATTTATTTATATATCTATATTTTTTTTTAAAAATAACTTATATATAATTATTATGATTTTAAACATATTTTTAAAAAGTAAAAAATTCTTGCATGCAATCAATTAAACCAAAGGAATTCATTGCACAATATTTAAAATTTAAGTTATTGTAATAAAGAAAATAAATGCTTTTTGTTTTTAAATGAGATGTGTTTCTTCTATAATTGTTCAAGACAACAAAACCCATGATGTCTTCATCCTTCAATAATGCATTTTCAACATGTTTTACAACCAAAGCTTTGATTGAAGTATTCTAAAATACTTTGCAAACAATCAAAGCTTTAAAACTTATTTGACTTACATGCAAATTATATTTAATGACTTACATGCAATTGCTTCTTTGTCTACATTTTCAAATTGTGCAAACTTGAGTTTTTAAAAGAATATTTTATCAAATTAAGCACATAGTAGAAAAATATAGAAATTTAAAAGAATTGCGAAGCATGTTGAATGGAATAGCATATCTAGACATATAAGCTTAAAATCAAAACTAAAAGGTTGGGGATATTGGTGTGTGTCAAAAAACAACATATGTGCATGATATATGTGATACATCCTTAGGAATCTTCTAAAATATGTTTGAATTAGTAGTTAGGAAAATCATGTATACATCAAAATATTTGGACACATTTGCACAAACTTCAAAATCAGGCTTGAGGAGGATAATAAATTGTTAACAACATTATAAAACAAAAATTTACACATTTATGTATGTGAGGTTACTCTCCTATATTTTTTTCATTTCTTTTGTTTAAAAATTCCAACAACAATAATTTGAAATACCACAAATGATAGCATGTTTATACAATAGTCTAAAGAATAACTAAAAATATGATTAGATGTTTAAAATTGCTACAGTTGGGTATAAATAAGAAACTTGTTAATAAGAAATTTACCACACAATTATAAAATTGTGTATAATGATAATAGAAATCTATAACGATCTATAGACTTATTTGGATAACGATCTATAAACTTGTTAATAAGAAATCTATAACAATCTATAGAAATCTATAATGATAATAGAAATCTATTATTTTTTAGTATATATAATATTTAATGATATAATTGTCAAATTAGCCTTGTTTATATTAGAAATATTTCCAATAATATCTAAGTCAACTACAAAGCTAATGCATGCAAGTGATTAATTACAATCTCTTTCACTTCACCTTCTATTTGTCATTTATATCATTGTTGTCATATCATTGCTACACACATTAAAGCAATCTCCAAAATACATAAACTTATAGCATGCATTATTACTTACTCAAAACTATATTTGCTACCTTTCAAAAATATAGAATTAGTTTTATTTTATTTTTTATAATTTTTGCAGGCATTTAAAAGATTGCACTCAATTTATACAACTACATAATAAGCATTCCTATCTATCTCAAATATGTGATACAATCAAAGTACTGTTACAAATCAAAGAATTATAGACTTGTATATAAGTGGTCATGCTCTTATATTTTTAAAGTGCCTGCATTTTTTTCTATCACCTATATGATTACAAAAATTAGCAATAATGCATTAATTTAAAGATTTATTATGTTTTGAAGATTAATGCAATAAAACAGAACAAACTACTGTCAAGATTGCTTTTAGACCTCTAAAATTTGCTTGTACATCTTTATTCTATTCTAATTTATTTTTACAAATCAAATATATATAAAAATAAAACGTTAATTATTTTTAATAAAATAAAAGAATATTTAATTAATTAAATAAATTTCTGAATGTCTTTAAAAGATGAATATTTTTTGAAAATTTTATATTTGAAATTTATTTATAAACCATGACAATAAATTTCATGTTCTAGAAAGAACTACTTGAATTTCATGAATTTCAAAGAAAATTATTATATTAAACTATAAAATCCTAAAATTTATATATCATAATAAATTAATTTTTTATAATGGTTATGAAATCACATTTTTTAAAAAAAAAGTCATAGATTTTTAAAAAAATTCTCAAATTATTGCTTTACTCAAAGAAAAATTACACATTTAAATATTTTATATTATATTAATTGTGTTATTATTATAATTCACAAAATTAATAGATACTGTTAAAATAATATATCAGTTTAAAATTTAAAATTATATAAATACATGATTTTAAAACATAATATATATATATATATATATATATAGATAAGGAGTTGTTACAGCCACACCCAATATTGTTAAAGCCACACCCCACATTACCATCTTATGATCATAACATGATTTGGGAGTGTGGCTTTAACAATTTCCTATTTATATATATTTATGTTGTAAAAATTAATATTTTTTTAGAAAATAATTATAAATCTAATTATACATATATATGTGTAATTTATTTCATTTCAATTTTTAAATTTAGTGTAATTATTATTTATTTGTTTTGTTTTTAGATTTGCTTCTTTTGTTATCACAAACATCTAATATCAATTATTAGATAGGCATTTTAAAGTCAAAATGAAGTAGTGTTTTTATTTTTAAAAAATTGTATAAATATTTTTGTCATAAAAAATATTCACAAATTAAATAAAAATAGATTGACAACATAAAGCCAAGAATAGTACTAATTTACATATGTCAAAGTTTATATCAAAAAGAAAACTTATTCATAATTTATTTCTTAGATACTATTAACAGAGTGAATTATTATTAAATATGTGTTTGTACATATTTGTAAAACTTGCTACCTTTGAGAGCTTAAAAAGTTACTATGATATATATATATCAACATTAATCCTATTACTTACACTTTAGATATTGAAGAGAATATATATATATATATATATATATATATATATATTTCCATTTAAAAAGACGAATAATTTTACATACAAGACTTACTCATAAATTTATGATTAGGTGAAATTTTCTAAAAATAAATCTTATTTTAATGTGATTTTTATGCTTTTTGAAATAATTTTACATATTGGGTAATTTTTAAAATCAAAAATTGTAAAATCAGTATAATTGTATATTAAATAAAAATCATATGACACATCTATACAATCACATTAAAGTTTTAAAATTTTATACTTACTTCGTGCAGAGAATTAATTATTTAATTCTGACATTATAGTATCTTTTTTAAAACTAAGTCTGAAACAACTGGTCTAATCCCAACAATAATTCAAAAATAAAAAAATGTGCACATAGTGTAAATGTATATTAATTTTTATATAAAAATAAAAATGTAATACATTATTTTCATATAAAATAAAAAAATTTAGAAAAAAAAAATTGACTGAAAATTTTCAAATCAACTGAATTCAAATATGTTAAAGTTTATATTTAAATAAAATAAGCTATGAACTTAAAAACTAAATTTCAATTGACTTTAAATTAAAAATTAAGAACAGCAATTATTTAGTTTCTTTATAAAATTTCACATGAATAACTGAATATGAATAATTGACCTCTTCACCTCTAATTTGAATGTTATTAGGATAGTTAATTTAATACCATTAAAAAATTATGACTACGAACACATAGAAGTTATTTAAATCACAATAAAATCTGACATAAGGGTTTTCATAAAATCCATAAAAGAAACACCTATAATTGTAATGTATTATATTTCTGAGCATTAAAAAGAATAATAAAATTTTTAAATTTTTAAAATTGAAATACTATGAAAAATATCTAATCTATTTTTACTTGATAAATTATTACTGGAAACCCATAAGAAAAATTTCGTTAGCTAATATAAAAATGTGATGTAGAAAAAAAAAAAAAAAATGGTTTGCATTTTTTCAAGCTATTTCTTTCACTTGAAAAATAAAAAATAATGCTTACATGGGCTAAAAACAAATAAAATAAAAAGCATATCACCCGGGTATTTGTAATTGTTCATGAAATAGTAATGATTACTTATTTATTTATTTATTTATTTAAGGAAATCTAATTAATAAAAAATTATTCATTATAGATCTATTTAATTTGCCTCTTATAACAATAAAGACGTCAACAAGTATATTATTTACAACAATCAACAAAGTCTTACATAATAAATTCGTAATAAAAAGTAAAAAGAAATTCTAAGGATGATTATGTATTGCCACCTTTTTCAGTTACACATTTTTAATCTATACATTTATAGGAAAAACATAAAGTAAAAAACCATATAAAAATAGAAGCAAGGGATGCTCTAGCACTGCCATAGAAGCACCAGACGAACCGAGAGGCAAAATATTGGGACAAGTGTGAACAGAGAATTTGATGGGGACCACTAAGGAAGCGCCACGTCGCAAAGCGCCACGTTGGCAAGCTAACATTAAGTGCTCGAGGGCATCGGCCGCCATCAAAGCCCACTCCCCATTGACTCTTTTCGGTACCCGACCGTACCCCTAAGATCCTCACGACGAATCCGTCGCGGAACGAGGCCAAGGCCTGGAATCCGTCGAGTCAACCACGGCATTACGTCTCGGAATGGGCGTGAGGACGGGGGCCTCGATAACTGGTGTCCGGCCTCGCACGATAGGCGAGGCTCTTGCTTCGGAAGTCTGTGTCGGGAGATCTCAGATGGCCAGATTTCCCGTCCTCTCGAAGCCGCCATGTACGTCATCACAAGCTCTCTCTGGGAATGCCGAAATCCACAATGTGTCCCAAGGACCACGACTCTCAACTCAAAACTATCAGAACGATCCCGACGACGTTTTCTCGGGTGAAGGCGCAGGGAAGCCATGCCTCTCTAGCCCGGCCGGTCATGAAGAAAATGCCATTGGAGAAGTCCGTGACGAATTTCCTGGACGAAGTGGAGAATTTCGTTTCGCTCATCGAGGCACCATGGCTGTTGTTATCGTCGAAGGCTACGAGGGAGAGGAAAAATAATCCATTGACCACCAGGGAGGTTTCGAAGAGCGGGGAGGAGAGCACTTGTGCGCTGCCGCGGCTACTCAGCCACCGATCTAACGATTCCGACAGCGACGATATGTTCACAATATTCGAGGCTCCCTCTCAAATGAAGAGAAAACCTTCCTCGAGGGCGAAATCTATCCAGCAGTTGGTGCAATCCGCTACAAATGGGAGCCTCACGAATCATTCGGTGAGTTGTCTCCTCTACCGTGCCAGTCTCTTGTAGTTCCAGGTTTTTTTGAAAATATACAAACATTTCTGAGTCGGAGAACTTCATGTTTGTCACATTCCATATATGCAGAAATCTACTGCTGCTGAGAAAGACAATGCGTCACTAGTTTTGAAGACCAGTATGAGTGCTACGAAGAGCCGGAGTTCCTCCCCAAAATCACTTCCAGTGGACCTAATCCCCCAAAAGACTACACAGTTGGAAACTCTTATCTCCAAGGATGTAGATGTTGAGGTAAGCATCTCAAAAACTCAAATAAACTTGGAATGGGTGAAGCAAATCTGATTAGAACTAAGTGTTTCGTTCAGTTCGTGTTGAATTGAGCAGTTATGCCTTTTAACGTTCCTCCGATCTGGTCTGCTTTCTTCGTTTCTCAGCAGTCAGGGAGAAAAGAAAGAGTCGAAGCCGCAATGCCAGTTCTCTTAGAAACTGACACCGACATCGTGCTGGTGACGAAGAAGTCCCCTCTGAGACTGAAATCTGTGAATGAGTTCGAGCCAGAGAGTTCATTGCCATTGGATGCAAACGAGTTCGCAGATACGCACGAAGATTTTGACATGTTTAGGAATGGTTCTGCCCCGCATGAAGCAAATCGGTGCTCCAACTCATCTAAAAGCAGAGACAGTATCCAAGGTTTATTTCTCTTCAATTATCTCGAGCAACTCATCTTCATGTTTTATGCACAAACTTTTTACTCCAATCATTGGAACGGTCAAAGAACCCACACAAGCCATCGCAGAGTCGATGGAAAGGCTTCTCAGATCATAACCCAAATTTGATAACTCTTCATGAAGAATCCTCTTCAACTCGTTGTTGACGCACAATATCTTGAATTCTTAGCGAATGAACTGACTGACTTAATCTAAACTCTTTGATTGGTTAAGCAGCGACTATAAATGAAGCAAAGATCACGGATTTGGTATTACCACGGGTGCGTGGCCCAGACAACGAGCCGGAACAACAAAGGTGTGAACAACGAAAGGTGCACGGTGCCACCGATTCAGAACCTTCCTCAACTACCCAGCTCGTTGCATCGGCGCCATCATCGACACAATCAGTTCTGGTACGAATGATCCCTCTTTACAACCCCTCTATCTAAACAGTCTAATACCGCATCATGTTGTCACACTTCGGATGGGAAATGCAGCCCTCAGCACAGAAACTCTTGTTAAAATCCTGCTGCAACAGGTACAAGATGAGGTTCCAACCACAAGCCCAGATTGCAGCGCAAGGGAGTATAACAACATCTACGACGACAACAACAACTCTGAGTGTCGAGAAACGACAACTTGCGGTGACGCAGCGATGTCAACTGATACACAAAATTGCATGGAATCGGCATCTGTGTCGTCTCGGAGGAGTCCCTTCTGCTACCCTGAACTAGAACCTGATGAATCCTCCTCACATATCTCACGGCTTGATGACTCCGATTCTCAGAGGTTTCTGTTCAGGGCTTATACTCGCCTTGTGACGCTCCTTCACTGCTCCATCACCGAGCAAGCTGGTGCGCAAGAGGAGAAGAAAAAGTGGGCAACCAGGCAATCAATAGAGCAAGCGATGAGTAGCTTACTGAAATGAGTCTAGACGTTGCATTGCAGGTGTTGAGCGAAAGGGAAGGTGTGGATTTTCAGTCATTGAAGCACATATTTCAACAGAATTCAAACATGTTTTACCCACTTTTGTTCCTGGTTCTGGTTGGAGATTCTCCTGCAGTCTGCATTGCATTGCTTTGCATGGCATGGCTGTGGGGGTTATTTTTCGCGTGCTTGTGCTTACGTTTAGGTTGTTTTCCAACACACTTTAGTGTGTGAGTGTTTACGTTTTGTGTCTTTGAACAGACAGCTATTTCAGCACCGGCACCTCTAGATTTGTACCGTTCTTTTGGTGGATTCAGAATTTGGCTGATTTGACTTGATAGTGCCCAAGTTGCTACGCGTGTAGTTGTTTGTGTACTTTGTAAATGCAACACAGAATGGAATTTTAGAGCTGAGAGATGTAATATTATCTAACGTTAATAGATTTTTTGAATAGGTTCGCAAATGTAGTGGGCATGTATCTATTATTATTATTATTATTATTTTTCCTTTCTTCTTTTGCTATATATATATATATATATATTTTTTTTTTGTGTGTATACTTGATATTGCCAACCTCACTACAATTTTTGCTACACTACAATTTTTGCTATTGTCATCACAACCCTCTATTTATGACATGCTACCTTTGTTTAATACTTTTCAAATCAATCAAGTTTACTTTACTCAATATCTTTCAAACCATTTAATTGAACTTTTTATTTTTATTTGAATTAAAAAAAAACTAAAAGAATATGTCAAGTGGGCAGTGGATTGTAGTGGCAGTAGCAAAATTTGTAATAACATCAACAATACTCCATATCTATCTATGAATAAATAAGTAAATAAATAAATAAATATATGTATATATATATATATATATATATATAAACAATCTTTTCATGATAAAATAAATTATAAAATTTATAAATGAGATTGTATATTGAATATTTTTTTGTTAATTGTCAAAAGATAAAAAGTGTCATGGATTTTATCCATGATCTAAATTGAAATGGTTCATAATAAAGAAATGCCAATTCTTCATAGTGAATTGAAATTAAAAAGAATTTTAACTATAAATTTTCTTGGTTTTATTTCTTAACAAAATTTTAATCTAATAAAAAAATTTAAATATAATAATTTACATATTAAAAATTACAATCAATTAAATAAAAATTTAAAGTTACTTTTATTATTTTTGCATTATAATAACAATTACTAAAATAATGTTTGTACATATATAGTGTGAAGTTAATAAAATCTTTTTTCTTTCTTGCAAAAATTTCTTAAATTATTATAAGAACATTTTTAGAATATATATTTACAAGATAGTTTTATTGTTTCATATTTTTTTTATAAATAAATAAGTATAAATAAATAATTATATTAAATATGCTTAAAATTATTATTTTTTATAAAATTTGTAGCAAGTCTCTAAAACTTATACAAAAACCTTATTCCTCAGTAAATTTTGTATAATAACAATAATAATAATAATAATAATAATAATAATTACTCCAGTAAAAATTCATATTTTATTTTATTTTACATGATTTTAACGACCATAAATTTTTTATCTTTTAAATGTGCATGTAAGGATGTATCACTAAATTTTTAAAGTAAAATTATGTCACAACATTTTAATAATATAAATATTATGTGTCAACAAGTAAGAAGTTTGCTGTCATCTGAAAAGAATAATAATACAGAAATAATATTAATCTTAATAAATATTTTAAAAATAATATGTTTAAGGAATAATTCTTATAGAAGAATTGTAAAAAATATATTAAGTTGCAATTTATTAAATATTAAAATCTTGTCAAGAAGTCTATTTTAAGGTTTAGTTGCATGGAAAGATATACAGAATGCCACTCGCCACCAGCCTGAAGTTTCCATGTGGATTTCCACACTATGCCTCCCAACTACAAATAATTGTGTTTAGTCGCCCATCTTTCACACTTCTGCAATTAGTGAATCATCCTCGAAAACTAAGTCTAGAGGCTCGTAACGTTTCTCGCTTCTTAAACTTCTTGCTCTGCAATACAATTAATAGATGCATAGAATTCAGTGAAAGTGAAAGTGAAAGTGAATGGATGGATCATGGGCAAGGAAACTTTGAACGTCATAAACAGCTGAAAAATATCATAAAATGCTTAAAATAAACCATGCATTGAGGTAAAAAGTGCAAAACAATTGAGTATTGCTCTTTAGAAGAATGAAACGGGAAGATAGCTAGAGAGTGGAGTGAAAGGGCAATCAAGGTCGGATCTTCTGACCTCTCGAATGCGGCATGCTATATATCTTTCCATCAGTATATCTTCATCGGTCCTTGTGTCGGGAATGATTTCGATCTCTTGCAACTCAAGGTTGACCCATTGCCACCGTGAAAAGACTTCCAAAATCTTGTCCATCTTCTTCTGAATGGCCTCTTGAATGCTTGGTAGCTCCACAATTTGGCGATACACAAAACCAGACGTGTCCTTATTGGAGTCAATCTCTGGAGTGGATGGGTTGATAACACGGGGCAGCTTAGGTAACGAATACTGAAGCTGAATCCAGTCGCACTTAGTTCGAGTCTGCAATTTGTTGCTTCTGTGCTTGCCTTGAACGCGCTTAGCATGAAGAGAGACTCGTCTTGACGCCGGCAACGTCAACGAAGGTGTGTAATTATGTTCTTCATCTTCATTATCTTTTTCTTTGATCAGCTTATACAAACCAATTTGTTTCCTATTTTCTGTCGTTACAAAAGTGTGAAACACAGCTTCTTCATCAGAGATGACATATTTCTCAGAATTTTTGGAGCACAACTTGTCATAAAACTTGGCAGTTTCGTACTGCTGGTACATTTCTTCATGGAGGAATTCGTAGCCGTGGCCTGCTTCATGAATGACAAATAGGCGTGGGTATGGACCCAACATGATTGGTTCTGATGGTTCAGATGACGGCGGGGAGGGCGTTGCTGGTCGGGAGATTGGATGAAGTGGTTTCCATTCTCCAAGTGGAGTCAACTCAAAGTCCGCACGAACATCGACACGGGTGGAGGTTGATCCAGCTTCTTCAACTATCTGCAAGCTTGCATCAAACCAAGTTAAATTACTCATTAGAATACACCAGAGAAGGATATGGCGTGACAATCTCAGGTATAGGGAGCATTCGATGCTAACACTGAGTTAACGCTAATGTAGCGAGCTTCGATCACGATGCACAATTTACCTACGAGAAAGGCGGCTAAAATTAGTGCTCTTGTTCAAAAACAACTACAGCGGAAAGATTTAGACTGGATTTCGGGTGTCATTTCATTGTTAAACGCTCTACTGGGGAACGTACCTCTGCCCCGAGTACTGATCCAAGTTTACTCTCTTTGACGGATTTTTCTCTTGATCCCTTCTTCTCTGGCTTAGGCGGGGGTTCTAAGAAATGAAAAGCTGAATTAGAATACATTGGCTAAATATCGCACGTCTTCATTTTCAAAACTATGAATTGCATATTTTCTTCGACGTATGCACTACAGCTTAAAGCAAACCCAATAACCCAACTACCTCATGACAGAATCTAGCTCTGTTGAAATAGAGACAAGCAAGACTCGAATGGATTCTTGAGTTATAAGTATTCATTATTCGATTTTTGAAAATTTTGCATAAGGAAAATCACCTCCCCAGCGTCTTACCTGCTGGTACTTCTGGATTTCCTTTCTTTAGAGATTTTCTCAGGTCTGAAGTCTGATAAGGTGGGTCATTAGGGAAGTATTTAGCGAGTTCTTTTGCATAAAGATCCTGCTCAAGTCCTTCTGGTATGGCTGTGGCATGCGCTAAAAGAAGTTGCTCAAATATTGGAGCCTCTTTGGCGTTCTGGGTAGCAGTCTTTCCACTTATAATTGTCTCCCACTCAGTACCTCTCCCAAAAACCCTGAAACCCTGTCCTGCGTTGTCCGTAAAGGTTAAGCTGCCCTCAACCTGCATCGAAATTTTTCATCCCCCTTGGCGAATTGCTTATGACAAAAATATAACAACAGCAATTTTAACTAAGTACCAATGCAAACAGAATGTAAATAAGAACATGGTTGGAAGGACGTGAAACCCCAAAAATTTCATTTGCAACGGGTTCATGACAGTAACCTGATGCTTGCCAGATTTCTCAATTCCAATTAGTGGCATGTTTTTGAGATTGAAATGCCAAAATAAAATCATTTAACTTTTCACCGAAATGTGAAAGCGGGGTATAGTATGAAAGCGATACCACATCAAATACATAAACGCCGTTGGTGTTAACGAAGGGCCCATGCTTTCTGTCATCTTCTTCGGTCTGATACGGATCATACTTTTTAGAACCGTCAGTTGGATCAAAGCTAATAGTGGACCCAACAGAATACAAAGAAGCTCCTCCAGGCATTGACAAGCTTATCTGACGAGCCTGCTTTGACCATGTTGCAGCGTAGAGGCCATCCACTGTCTCAAATTCAACGCAAACTCCAGATTGTTGAGTTTCAGATCCAAACTGCAGCAAAAGAACATCACCCCAGCGTTATGAAAAAAAATACATTCTTGGAACTTGAGCCCAAGAGAGCAGATTGTGCCACAATAGCCCGAGGAACTAAAGCCTATAAACCGGTCTTCTGGATTGACTCTCCAACGGAGACATGTAATTACCTTTCCCTGCACTTTTGCAAGGCCTTCTTTGTGTATATGCCATGTTGTCGATATTTCGGGCAGAACAGGGCGAGGGTGGAGATCCAGCAGTGAAGGTTTAATGTAAGGCTTTTCTGAACCTTCGCTTTTAGAAATTGATGGGTTCTTCTTACCCATCAGGTTATCTTTCTTATCTGCCACTGCAAGAGTGTGCCTGACACTTCCCTTTTTCTCTGTCCCTCCGGCACCAGCACTTACTCTCCTTTCACCGTACTCGTTTCCTTCCCCACCCTCATCCTTGCTGGCTATCTCTCCCTCTGGCCTCAATACCTCGGGCTTAATCCTTGGTGGATTCTTTGGAAAGACCTCGGCAATCTGATCCATCATGGCCTCCCCTTGTGACATCACATTCTCGGGAGTAGAGCAAACCTCTGTGATCACACTGTATATCTGCGTGCCGTCAGCATGCTGGACGAAGGTGGACTTCTTTCTCTCGCTTTTTATAACAACTACCAGATCCTCCCGTGTCATCACTTCATCTCCAGTTTCAGGATCGTAGAAATGCTCCACTTTCAATTTAGGTAATGGGATAAATATTGGATCAGTGGGTTCTATAGGTCTCACTTCTGGAACTTCAGATGGCACTTCTAGTGCCGGGGAACCTGCCTTCGAACCTTTCTTTATGAACACTTTCTTTTCAGGTGGAGGTGGAGGTGCTGCAGAGTAAGATACAAGCACAAAACGGAGGACACATTTCTACACAATTCAGTAACACTTGATCGGAAATTACTACAATCCCCCGTACGCAGACGAATATTCTTAAGATATAACAGTCTTTCTGATCAGTTTCACAATACTACTAAATAGTTTGCAGGATCCCAATACATGGTGCAGCGTCGCAAGAACATTTCGGAACACGAGGAGACTGTGATTAATGCCCCCAGCCCTCCCCGTTAAGACCTCGATAATGCGAAGGTGATTAAACTGGAACTGTTAGCGATGATTCAAAGACAGTACAGGAAACAATCGACCTCCTCTAGGCGCCAATTCTTCTTCTGCTAATTTCTCAGCGGCCTCCCCTTCCCGTGGATCCCGCTGCGACGGTTAAAAAACACAACAGTTGCGACATTAAGTGTTTGGCTTTGAACTGCAATCCTAGTAGCAAGAATGCCAATCAAAGACAAGAATCGCCAAAAACTCTATCCAACGACACATTCTAAGCAATTACATGACATGTTTGCTTATACTGATCTTCACCTGGGCGACCAGGAATCCTTCATTGTTTGCAGTTATCCAGCAGGGACCCCCTTCATAGTCATGTCGAAAGTCGCTCACGTTTCCTTGACGGTATAAAACCTGCCAGACGATAAGTCAAATTCAACACGCCTTTTCACTATGCGCCGCTCTTGATACATATGATAGATAAGATGCCTCCAATCCGAATGATACATTAGTGGAAAATTTTATCAAGGACGAGCCATATGGAATCGTTTAAGGCTCTAAAATGCGACCTCGTGGACTACGATGCGACCCTTCAGCAACTAATGAGAAGCGGGAGTAAGATAACCTGAGCATCTCCATTGTTTCTGTACCGAACAACTGCCCCTGTGGGCAATATGCAACGCCAAGATTCCTGTTCGCCCTTTTCTTGCACAAGGAGATCTCTAAAAATCCGTTTCTCAACTGGTTCTTCGGATTTAGCACCCTCAGCTCCCTCCTTATTACGCACACACAACATGAACTCATTCTTGTCAGAGCAGTATCTCAAAGTCTCGAAATCAAATGGCTATTACGTCAACATTTCAAGATTCTGATCCCATATTACGTGCTTATCTCTGTCTATTAACGTCCAATTAACCAGCTACAATCTAATACAAAACGTAATCACCTATAGTTTGAGCCATTTATGTACAGTACTGTACGATCCCATCCTATCACGCCTTTACCATGTAAATTGAGTTTATAATTCATGGAGAATGTTTAAGAACAAAGTAGATTCCGCAGACCCGATTTAAAATTTACAAATGCAAAACAGGGAACCAAGAGATTGACATCTGTTAAGTACTAACCTTAGGTGGTGGAGGAGGTGCAGGTGAGGGTAATGGTGGTTGTTCAGCTGTTTTACCATCTCCTCTCCGTCCAGGAACTTCTCCCTCTGTCATAAATGTTTTGTTAGACATCAACTGAGCATGCTCTGTAAAACGTGATAAACCTAACAACTAAGTCTACACAAGATAATAAATCTCCCCAAAGACGAACACGGGCATGGAACTGACATGAATATCTGTTTTGAGACTCTAACTGTAACTCTAAGCAATGGACGAAATTCAGCTCGAATTTCGTTAGTACTCCCAGTGCTTACTACGTGATCATGTAGTTAGTAATAGTGCAAATCATAAGATGACTCGAGTACCAGTTTCACGACTAGAACTGCATTATTACAAAAACCATCAGATGACAGAAAAATATTCTATGTGTAAGCTTCCTACCTGGGGTCTCAGCTTCTTCTACTTTCGATGCGTGAAGATGAGAAGCGAACATGCGAACTATTCCAGTCGAAGTGATCTCAAAAGTTTGATTTGCGGGATTCGTCACTTGCATACTCATTGTCCCATCATTATCAATGAAGAAGCTGACAACAATACCATCTCTCAAGCATGCATTCACGCTTTTTACTCTAGGCGAGTCTGAACTGTCGTCGGGGCCATGAGCTCGGAGTAGAATAATATGGCCATCCTAAAAGCACACTAAGAATAAAATTTTGTTAAAAATCGTGGAACAAGGATCCATGACGGTAAAAATACAACCCTCTTGGGCGTGGGCAGAAGTACGTGATACAGGAAAGCACATAGAGATGACGATCTAAATCAGCATAAACGAAACTTCAAATGCTATAAATTAGAGTTTCGTAAACCTAGAAAGCAATTTCGAGTGAGAACACTTATAGATTGAGAGCATTTCAAGCATTCACAATGTTATGACTTGACTTGCATATTGGAAAATGCTCAGAGTCGCAATTTCTATTGTTGCCAAAGAATTTCAAAATCAGAAACCAAAGGAGTTTACTCCCTAACTATGTAGAAAATCCAGCCTCAGCTAAGTGATATAATCGAGAGTGGTAATTTGTGAGAAAGAGGAAAAGGAAGAATGAATGAATAACCTTGATCACAGTAGTTTGAGGCTCCCATTGAATGTCAGTTTTTGCTGGATGGCCAGTCCACACTAGACCTTGATGCTCTGCAAGATGGCATTTATACCTTTCTAGCACAATTGCATATTTCTCCTCAACGTCGTATGTTGCATGCTTTCCAGTGACGAGCATTGCAGGTGACGGGTTGTCCATTTTGGCAACGAAGTCTCCAAATCCGATCTGGTTGCAGAATCAAACACAAGAGCACATTCAGTAATTCCCTGCTGAATTCAAGCAAAAAAAATGTGGACTCCGCTATCTTGATAAATTGATCTGAGGCCTGTATCTCACTCTCGAGAACCAGAATCAGAACGTAACGTTTTACATGTAATCTTACCGATGTTTTTCTGATAGAAAGATAAGTCATTACCTGTGACGCAACTACTCCTTGCCACACATGGTCTCTATCATCTGCGTACAGAGCCTCAATCATGCAATCTTCATCCCTATCATACCTGTTCACAGTACAAAAAAAACATTTTAAAATTAAAAATCATTTATTTAGATAAATAATTGACCTGGGAATGCCTTGCATATTTCAACCCTCATTTCATAGAAAATAATTAGATTCAGGCAAATAGAAGCTCCACGTTCAAGAATCGAATAGATGATGCCATCTTAATCTGATTACTGATACACGATCATTCCAAGTCTGATAGGAAAACGAAGTGATATAAGAACCATAAACAGTTGCTGATAGGAGGAAGTGCCCTCAATGATATCGACCTTACAAATCACTTGGGTTTGTAGACTGATAGAGTTCCTCTGGTCCACTTCAGTGTGTAGTGAGTTTGTAGAAAAGATTGCCAACCTGTAGGCTCTGTAAGGAAGGCGCGTCCTTGCTCTCCCGTAAACCTCACCCAACAGACCAGAAGGAAGGGCTTCAATGAACCTCCAGTCCGTAATACGCTGAAATGGGAGAAACGGCTCTCGACGCTTGGACTGCGATGACAGCGTAGAGTCTTCCTTAGGTGGAGCATCTGAAACAAGCCGGCCCGAATTGTGGGATCTTAAGCTCTGGCACCCGCAATCATGCAGAATATCATTTCCTTTATCAAGTTCTTTCCGTTCTTCCTCTGTAAGGTCATCATCTGCCTGCTCTTCTTTTGGTGTGAGGGCTTCCGATCCTTTAGCAGGGGCCCTTTCGGAATCATCTGGTAAATTGAAAGCTCGTTTTTCTTCCTCTGACAAGATCTCGAGAAGCATTCTCTGACGAACATTCCAGAAAGAGTTTGTAAACAATGGAAAGAGTGAGACTTCGGGACTACAAGAGAACACAAGAAGGATGAACTCACAGTATGTTGGGAAAACTACATTCGCACTGGTAGTGTATTGAAGAAACACTCAGATTCTACGTAGATCATGTGAAATTTATGTTGCAGAATGGTTCAGATAATCTCTTGGTTAATAGGTATTGATGCACAAACACGTCCAGAACGTCAAGTAAGGGTAGCCACTTGAAAATCACCAATTTTTTGTATCTCTGAATTGCGGCAAGATTCAAAGGTCCCATTTTGGACCTAGGTCCTCCTGGCCTTTCCAGAGTTTCCATGAGCCGAGGACGCCCATAGGTTTGTTCCCTCTGTTCCTGTTTGTAATTTGAATATAAATCCTTTGAGAGCAAGTCTGATTGGCCCCTTACAAACCATCTCAATGCTTCCAAGCATGCACCTCGTTTTTCATCAGACAAGAATGGGATTTTGGGCATAGACGCTCGATCCTTACCTGAAAATCAAAATCGATTGTTCAAGCACTTCTACTGCATACTCATTGCAAGCCTTGAAATTGAGAATTGGGATTCCATCACAATGATAGAGCATGCTGTAATGTTGTGACATTGGCAAACATCACAGTAATAGTAGCTAGACAAACAGCTGTCGGAAACGAAAAAAAGGAAACAGGAAAGAAAAGAAAAGTGGTACATGCGCAAAGTAGACTACTAAGTGTAAACCAGCTTAGCTCTCAGTATCTTACGCATGGGTTTCAACTTCATTCTAAAATTTGATTTCCTATATTAATTCCTATAATAAGCATGATTCTAGCATATAGTTATACATCAGCGATGGATAGAAGTCAATCAAGTTTTTGACCTAAGAAAGTTTTACTCATTCTCATTAGTGCAACGTCATTATCGGGGATGACAAATAATTTTGAATCAATTACCTGGATATCCAAGCAGTGACAGCATGTGCTTCTCAACGTTAACAACGTCTACTGAATCGAGAAACTCAAGTGCTTTATGCTTCACAGTTCTTTCAAGCCGATCAACTCGGCTGAACTCGTACATAACGAGCGAGTGCTCATCACCCTTTTCAGCTGACGCACCCACGAGTTCTTTAAATTCACTGGCAGCAGGATCCCAAGAAATATGTGATTCTTTCTTCGAGCCTGTTTTTGAAAGGCCTTGTTTCAGGGTTAATCCTGTTCGAGATGACATTTCCCTTGATGTCCTCTGCCAATCATCTTTTGATGAATTCCTCCCATTGTCTTTTGAGGACTTCAGCCCATCTTTCATTGACCTCTTGTCCCCTTCAGAATCTTGGACCAGTTTCAAAACTGACTTCCTGTGAGATTTTCTCTTTTCTGGAGGTTCTTTACCAACGGCAATGGCATCGACAGTAGCAGCAACTTCACCTTCAGCAGCTTTTGCAGCCGCATCTGCAGCGAGTTTCTCTGCTTCTTCATTCCTTCGTTCGGCTTCATTACCAGCAATTTCAAGAAAGACCTTGAGCATTTCTTCAACAGTGTTCAAATCTTCCTCCGCTTGCTTAGCTCTGATCTCCTCCACTATGTCATGAAGAAGAGCAGATGACCTTCGCATACAAGAGAGGCCTTGTCCTAGCCTCAGAATGGAAGCATCAAAACCCGTAGCCAACCGCTCATTGGCATTTGCAGCTTCCAAAGCCGCCATATCCTCAAGAGAAGTGTCGTAATAAGACACTTGCTCAACCATGCAGTGAAGGAGGATTGGGAGGCTCACCCACTCGGCAGGTACTGTGTCGAGGAGGGCCTTGTAGTATGTAACGTTGACATCCTGGGGTTAGAAAAATCACAACAAAGATGAAAAATGATAATTAAAACCTCATGGCATAGCTGTCTAGTTGATGCATGTTTTCTGGAGGGCGGTAACTTAAGTACTTTTCATGGTGTCTAGAATTTAAGATTCCGATTGTGGGAAGTGAAAAAGGACAAGGACAGTGCACTCCAGCGGGAGAGTGAACACATCAAAAAGATCGCAGTGAGAAAATAAGAAAATAAAGATTCTCACGTAGCCTCCGATTGTCAAATGTGCACTAAAAGGGTGTGAAGTCATCACTCAACAGCCAAAATTATCACTAATGGGCAAAAGAGAACCTTTGCACCCTTTCTATACAACGGGGAATCAGTTAAAGATTCATAAGTCTTGAGCCTTGAAATTCAGTTTTGTTAGGTTACATTTCATTATTTAAAGCAGTTGTTCCTGATTCCGGATAAATAATTAATAATTCTACAAAATTACTCTTAGTAGCAAAATTGTTGGCAAAAAAGACACTTTCTAGTTTCAAGTACATATATCAGAATCGCCTCAACAGGAACAATATAAATGGAACATGTAGATCAGCTACCTACCTTTCGAGGAACAGCCTCCGGAATCTCAAAATTCCCAGTAATACTTCCGTCGAGCTTAGAATAAGCTTCCATTTGTTGCTGCAAACACACAATCCCAGAAACTATTGCCTTGGCAAGCATCACATACGGTAAATCACCTCGCGGTGGAACTCCGAGTGGTGAGGATAGCGCTCCCGGTTTTCCATTCTCTCCCTGCTTCACATGAAGTTTGATATATAGAACCTTGACTATACAAGGAACAAGTTTCAAATCAATCGTTCTACGCAAAACAACCAAAGGAAACATAAAGGAATTGATGATAATCATCAATTTCATCAGCCGAGTCTTCTTGGAAGTTCGTTTTCTTTGAAAAGACTCACTTCCTTACCACCTATTATCTTCTTTAAACAATTCAGAAGCCCTTGAGCATAAACTGGATTGATCAGAGAAACTATCAATGTCAATCTAAACAGTTACGGACCCTCACTCTGAAAAACTGGAAGAGAAAGTTGAAAAATTGGTGTTTGACAAACAGTGAAAATCAAAAACCTGCAAACATTAGACAGCTGTTGCGACAATGCATTTATCACATTGATTATGTTCATACCCCTAGTTCCACAAGCTTAGGTGGTGGTGGGTCCTCATACAGGACATCTAAAACAGGGATCTTCCTGGCAGGATGTTCGAGTTTGTTGGTTTGCGCAAGGGCGAGCAGCTCCTTTATAAAAGGCGGCATAGGGGAAGGTTCAAAGAGCTGAACATTTTCAAGAGGCGGCTTCTTTTCCAACTTGAAGACAGCTTTGAACATGTGAGGCACTGTGACATGTTTAATAAGTTCCTCAGCAGTCTCACCCAATCCTAAACACCAGTATATGCGAGTAGTAGTAAGAGGATTGGACTTCTCAGCTTTTTGTTTCCTATCCAAGTATTCGACCATTTTTACCTGCAAGAGAAACCCGAACCCAACAGTTGCTTGGATGGTTTCAATGAGCTGAAAGAATCAAATAGTTCAGATTCTTAATTTCATTCTCTTCAGATTATGATGTACAAAAATCACTCGACAAACATCTACGTTGAGGACACACTGCTGCATCAAGGGTACTTGAGACCCAACTCGTAATAAGATTGCAAGCTCAGTAATAGACTATATTCGAATACGCAATAAGTGTGAATACTTCAGGCTTGGTACGTTAGCATTCGTGACCAAGTTCATTGTGGGAATGCACTGAAGTGAGTCCAGCTGGTGAAGAGTGCGAATGCTTTGTTGGCACACCTGGTCCATCATATAAATGGAATACGTATGTTGTATCCAACAAATAATGAAAGTATTGTTACTTTTTTCTCACAAGCGAAAAGAGCAGTTTGCAGTGTCGCGATGCTATGTTCCAACTGCTTCCTTTCCTCCTCTGGGCTAAGCACTAGTGTAGATGCTGTCATAAAGGTAAGAAATTGCACGCGGAAAGAAATCAGTATCCAGCCGCCAGCATTCATTATTAGATGTGACGCACAAATAAATGAAGAACGCCACAATTGTCAACTTGGCAAAGAATTACCAAGACAAACTCAACTGCACTTAAATTTATCTCATAGCACAGCATCAAGAAGGATAAAGATGACAGAAAACAAGAGTTGAAATTTGCTAGAACACTTTCAGGATTTTCATACCCGGCCTAAACAACTTCCTCCTAATTCATGTCTAGGTGGTTGTAACAATAGAGTATGCACAGAAGTGGATTGCTTGACTTAATTGTCAAATTAGACGATTCGGAGCTGCTCTCCCTCAGATCACAACTAAGACAAATAAAAAAAGGAGTGTAAGTCCCTTCTAAAACGCTCACTTATGTTTTTAAAAAATAAAAATAAAAATAAAAATAGCCCCACTACTGTGTTTGAGTTAGTCAAAAACAGTAGAGACTTAATTGCACGTGATTATTTGCGTCTGAAGGGCACCTGGTGCAACTCTGGATCCCACTTTCGAGCTTTTAACTGGGGGTGCCTTTGCAGATGCCTTTTTAGAGCCCGCTTTAGAGCCCAGTTTAGATCCTGTACCACCTCCCAATGCGGCAGCTGCAGTGGCTGCAGCTGTAGCAATGAAATTCGAGCTTGACTCTCTTTCTTTCCGTTCATTCTCTCTTTGTTCAAATTCTCTAATCTGACTCATGCCTTCCTCAAAGCGTTGTCTAGCTTCTGTTTCTTTGGCCTTGGCTTCCTGTTCCATGTATGTAACCAGTTGGCCACACGTTTGCATGATATAGGCATCCTAACAAACTCTTCCTAAGAAGACATTATGGAGAGTCTAAGCACAAGATAGTGAGGAAGACCTTGATGTTCAATTTGCAAGTTTCTGCGTTCGCTATCCTGCGCTGCTCTTCAATACGGCATTCCTCGTCTCTGTCCACGAGAGACTTCGCTGCAATCCACAGCCAAATTTAAAACAATTAATTCAAAAGTTTACAAATTGCATCTACTTCAAATACTCGCTCATGATTGAGCCAAACACAATTTAGAATCAATTCGAATCAGTTTAAGGGCCATCAAATACTTGGTAACACTCCAACTCCTAAAGTAGTTTGCACGCCATTTATAACAAATGCTAATAATAGCCTTCGATTGCAAAGTAATTGCAAAACCTTCGAGCACCATATTTACAAGTTCGGGAGTTAGCCATTCTGCTTCTCCTGTCTTCTGAGAACACCAATGAACCGAACGGTGATTTAAGAGTGGATTACAGAATTAATACCCAAAATAGTAGACGACGTAGCAATTTTCCTATGCAGCTTTTCTGTCTTCTAAATCGTGTTAGAATCTATTCAAAAGGTATAGTGACAACACAAACGAGAACTTTAGTCCCTAATCAACGGGCTGTCGATGACTGCTAAGTAAACTTGCTGGCAGCTGCTTGATGCAAAATAAAGACTGAAGACATCTGACAGATCGAGACTTGTGTCTGAAATTAGAGAGCTCAACACAGTCACATATCTGTCAACACAACTGCATATCAAATTATGGAAGAGGTGATTTCTATATATATATATATATATATATATATATATATGTGCAGTCGTTCGCAAGTTCAGAATACCTGCGCAGCTTTCAGTTTCTCCCCCAACTCTGTTGGAGGATCAATCGCCAACTCCTGCACTCACACCAGCTTAGAACGTTAGCCAATATCTCGGACAGATACAATTCCTCGTCAAACGTGCATGTATCATGAAGGTTAACGAGTTCAAAACCAACAAGCTTACATGCAGAAATAACCAAAACTACTGTGAAAACGTAACTTCTGATTTTTAAGACCAAAAACTATTGAAAACCTTCATGTAAATCAACATGTTGCCAACAATACCTCAGCGACCAAGACGTGCACGTCTACAATTTCCATACTAAAAGCAGGTCTCCCGACTACATTCGTCGTATTCACCAGCGTCTCAGGGTCTACAGGCAAAAGCGTCTCTATGCGGATACCCAAGCTTGTCCAATTTATGGACCATTCTGGTAGAGGGGCCGGCTGACGAAGCTCCTGCAACCAAGCATACCAAAAGTTATAAAACCTGTTTCTGTGTGTGTGTGGGGGGGGGGGGGGGGGGGGGGGGGGGTACAAAAATATTCCTCAGCTTGATTTGTCCAGTAACAAGAAATCTCTTCAAACCACCTGTCTCAACATTACCCTCCTTGTCGGTCAGTGATTCTTGACCTTCGCATGGAAATCCTAAAAATAGCTAAGCGAGGTACTAAACTGTAGTAAAAAAATAATAGTAATAAAAAATAAAAAATATAACTTCACAGATATCTACATTGAATAACGAAAGAAGATAACACAAATACCAACCTCTTCTTCAGGCGAAACTTCTGCTTCTCCTCCAAATCGTACCTCCCTTATTGGATTGCCCCTGGCATCTTTGGCAGAGCGCGAGTCGGCCATTATTTACCCACCTTTTTCTACAGTCTCACTCAATCCAATCCATCGACAATGTAAAGAACATTTGCGTAATCTCATCTTCCTCTTCAACGCACGCCATTTGCCTCGTCGGGTCAACCTCGGAGAACAAGTGCGAACGGCATCCGTCAACGTTAACTAAGTCATTTGACATTTGACGTCACCACTGCTACAGGTACAGTACAGACAATTACAATTGCATTTGCAACAATATCGAGCCACCCCAGATTACACACTCATCGGGGCACCACACAAAGCTCCCTCCATGAGTGAATACTCCGACACTGAAAGCCTAAAGTCGAAGAGAACGCGACTCAAGACAATGCACCCGCACATTGCAAACAAGATACATACAATGTCACAATGAAGCTGCATGCAAAACTTGAGCGACAACTTAATGTAATTGTGGTGCCACACGGAGCCTCACATGTCTGAGAATCTGTAGAGGCATTTCAAGTGGAACCCAACTACGGCGTCAATGTGAAAGTCACTTATGTAGCAGTTGGCGATCCGCCTGGGCTCCGAAAGTAACAGAATGCACACGCAGACACTCACTGTGAGCGTCTCAAAGAGGAGATGCCTTATACCGGCGGTGGACTATACCGGTGTGCGAGTGGGTCACTGCGACCGTTACCTGTCGGTACCGGCCTGTATCTTTCACGCACCAAATTTAACCGAATTATTACAGCTGTATCGTATATTCTAAATTTGCTAAATGGGTTCTTTTTCTTGTAGCAAGATCTTCACTATTGATTTTGATAGGGTGAAATGAAACTGGAAAGTTTCATGAAAAATAATTCTGATTTTATATAGAGATGGATTTTTAAAAGAATAGTTGCATGACAAAGTTTTTTTATAATTGTAATTATAATTTTTTGAAGGAGTACAGAAAGACAATTAATTTTTTAATAACGATTATCTTTATTCACATTGAAGCAATAGGTATCCCTGAGTTGCATCTCACTAATTTGTGTTGATTGTGGCTTTGGAACATAGTGTGTAAGAGATTTGTTTTAGATTTTTTGAAAATAGATACCTAAATAGAAAGACGGTGGTTTTGGGGTTTTTTTGGATACCAAGTGTCGTTTTTAACTAAGTAGATGATATATATGATTCTATATATCATGTTTTTTAGATTCATTTATAAAGTTTTAAAAACAACATATAAACAGAACTTTATAGTATCATATGATTAGAAAATAGCCAATAACAATAATACCTTTAGTTTTATTACAATTTTATTGAATTATGTCACTTTGACATTTTATACTCATTTCATGTTTTAGCATAGTTTTTTTGAGACTTTAAATTTCTTGAACATGTTTGTAACTTAAAATCTGCTTATGGTAATCTTTTATTTAGGTATTTAGCATTAAATTGTATTTTTGATAGGAATTGATGAAATTAAACCATATATATTTTTTCAATTAATCAAATATAATGACTTTTTAAATATACAAAATGTGTTTTTTTACAAATTTGCTACAATACTATGCTTTATTTATTATTGAATTTTGGTGAATAAAAGAAATAAAATAAATTTAAGAGAAATAAATCAATCTCAAGTAATGTATTTATTTTTAAAAAGATGAAAATAACAATGCTTTAAGCCATACAACTGATGAAGAAAATAATGGGAGCATACACAACAATTACACACAACTTCTAACAAACAAACAAACAAACAAAAATAAATAAAAAAATAAAAATAACATCTGCTCAAACAGAATGTGATTATCATTTATGTTTTTTTTGGTTTCTATTATAATTTTTCTTGCATTCCACATCCGAAGTTGTATGAAAGGAAATCAAGTTGAATAAAATCTTCAAAAAACCATATCAGCTGACAAAAGACAAGACATGAAATGGAGAATGCACATTTCATGACACACATTCACAAACGGAAACTCCAGTACAACACACACTCTCACTATAAAAATGTGTCCTCCTCCTTCTCATCTTCTTCTTCTTCTTCTCCATCAACTTCTGCTGCTGCTGCTCCTACAATTGGAAACAATGCCCACACACACATGTTGCCATGGTCAAGGACTCACTAATCTAGCAATCCCCAGCTCCGAGCATGGTGATGTGCTTCTTCTTCTGCTGCGTGTCTCCTTGCAGACATGGCGTTCACCGAATTCAATCAGACGCCGCACGCTGAGGAATCCACTACAATGGATGTCGATGCAACCTGCAGACCGGAGTTCAACATCTCAGGTACAGTATTCGGATCAGCTTTGCTGAACCAGGTTTGGTAATGGATTAGATGCTGCTGCTTCTTCTGCAGTCACAACGATGAGACTGTGCTGGACAACATCGTGAATCAGTCGCGACGTTAGTCGACGTGAAGCCAAGCCGAGGGGCTCGGTGTGCCGCCGTTGATGACTGTGAGCATGTAGTAGCCTGCTGGAGCAATGACGCCGGTAGGAGGAGCCACGACGGTGGCAGCATACAGACCGCCCCCTACTGCAACTGGGGGCTTGGATCCCAGCACTAGCATCCGCTGGTTCATGGAGTACGTGTGGGTGACGAAGGGTGGCGCGTAGAGATGGAACTTGACGCCTGTGGGTGCTGTCGCCACCTTGAATGTCACCTTGAACGCTGCTCCGTACTTGGGGTTCGCGTTGTCGATGTTGGTGATGTGTGGTCTCCGGAAGTTGTAGCCTTTGTAGAGATAGTAAGGGCTGTACTTCTCGATGCGGAGCTCTGTGGGGTTCAGAACGCCGACGAAACTGTATCCCGGGTTGGGATTGCTGCCGGCGACTAGGATCTTCCCGTCGGGTAAGACAATGGCGGTGGAGTGGTAGAGCCGGGGGATGGCGGAGGGTGTCATCTCTTGGAATCGGCGAGTTTCTGGAGTGTAGAGGACGGGTCCGAGAGACGGCTGTCGGGCTACGCCCCACCCCGCCGTGCCGAACTTCGCACCGTTAATAATCAGAACCTCGGCTGTGGGGAGAATGAGCATGTCCCCCATCACTCGAGGGGATGGCATATTCTCTATAGCCCATTGCGGGTTCGGGGATGTGATCAGAATGCGCCCGCATGTTTGAAGCGCCTGAGCGAATTTCCCCAACCCCACGTTCTGGAAGGAGCCCTGTGGAGATCCCCCGCATACCAAGACCTCCGCTGCTTTGTAACCGTCCACAGCCGTGATGGGGAGCAACACTGAAGATCCAGAAGAGGGGTAGTTTCGAGGACCGCCAGCTAACCTTGGAAATCTGCGCACTTCTTTTCCAGTCTTGTAGTTGAGGAGAATCGAGTCTTGATTTGCAAAGATGAACAGGTTGCCATCCGTGGAGAGATGGACAAACGGGTAGAGGTTGTTCTCCGCTTCTGGGTCGTTGGTTTGCGCTAACAGAGGCAAGGGGTGCACTCCTTCGCCCCGGAAGCGAGGAACAAATTCGTAGTTAAACTGCCGTCTTCCCCCTATCACGATTTGCCGCCCATCGGGAAGAATTTGGTTTGTTGCATACCATCGTGCCGCTGCAAGAGAGTTTTCGAATTCCTTCCAGTCGTCCAATCCAGTGTAACCGATTTTGCGCACTGCAGTGCCGCCATCGTTCCACCCTCCAGTCTGCGTGAGCGAGCCATCCGCTTGAAAAGCACCTGATGAGCACCATGTGTCCGTCATCACCGTCAATGGCCTGATCTTACTTGTGGTCAAATCGAGCTCGATAGAGTGCGCCCAGCAATCTACTTTGAGAGCCAGGTCCCTGGGATTCTTGCGGCAGAAACCCCCCGGAAGCTTAATCTGCGATGGTCCGTAATCCGTTCTGTCAAACATGATAACTCTATTGGTGTGCGTGAGCGCCATGTGCATTGCAGACACCCCTGCATTTTTGACCACGAGCTCCCATGAGTCACCCACCCACCTAGCTCCGGCAGCTCCACTGAAACTCCTTGCCCAGCTCAATATCCCCAGAATGCAGAGAGCAAGTACCCTCGAGTCCTTGTTCTCCATGGTTATTTCAGTTCCCCTTCAAAATTGAAGTGCAACCTACAGCTCAACGCAAGCAAATGAAAACCGACCTCGGCATAACTGCATTAGAAGGTCTTCGACACAAGAAATCAGATTTCAGCAAGCTCGAGGATAGTGGGTGTTCCGTGATGAGGATGATAGTCTAAGAAGACTATAATTCCCTGCCTCTTGCTTGGGGAAGTCAATTCTTCACAGCACTATCGTGGCGGTCTAAATCAACCGAGCACCGGAAAAATTCATCAATGTGAACAGTGGAGTGCAATCCTGACCCTGCCAACGCTGGTTGACGGACAGGGTACATGTAAGGGGCTCTATCAAACCTTGAGACCTTGTGACAAGAGCTGTGGTAGTCCTGTGACCAAGTTTTATAACTGATGTTGGAGTGCCCAAGGAGAGTGATCTCGCACCTCGGGGGACCCACATCACGAAAACAAAAAAATGTACCAAAAAACAAAAGAAAACTAAACGACGAGGTCGTATACATATTCAGCAGTCGCTCACAAGAAATAATGCTGGTGAACGGTTTCCCTTGACATAAAGAAGCAAGTGAACGGAGCATTTGCATCATTCGTTGAAATCGAGCACATACTCAGATACCTAATGGAGGTATCTGTCTGTGGTTGCCACTAGTAGGTTTTTTAGGGAAATAATTGGATACTGTAGTGGAATTGTCAGATAATTATCTCAAGGACGTTATTCACGCAAATCATGCTGGAAGTTTTGCTTGTGTTTTTTTTTTATTATTATTATTTTTTATTTTTAATACTGAGTAGTAATCGACGGGGCTTTGTGACAAACTAATAACATACAACTGTTGTCACACTGCTGATCCTTTGATTCGGCTTCGAACCAAGCCAAACTTTATCTAAATCCAGATATCATCAGAATGTTCGCAATTTAAAGACTAATGAACTCAAGGATTTTTTTTTCGTACGTTAATACGTCGGTTGATTTCCTGTGACTTATTCCCTATCTTAAGGATTGAGGTTTGTTCAAGTTCCAATCATGATCATTCGACAATTGGACTCTGACGTTGTTGTGGAGGCAGAGGCCTCTTGTTAAACACCGTTGGCAAATACAAACTGGTTGATTGGATTCTCCAAAAATAAGAGTTGCCATGGTTTTCAGAAGGGGAAATAAAATGGGATTTTTTCCCCCAACAACCAATGTCTTATCAGTGCGAATATCTGTCAGACCATTTTGCAAGCTTCAGTGTAGAGAATGCCTTGTCAGTGCTGGTAACGTTTAACATTATCAATTTGCGTCGATGATTATGATCAGACAGGCATTCCCCACCACGACACTTTACTCTCAAACGTAGAGCGCCAAATCCTCGAGGAGCCCATGTGACGCGTTTCAGATCACAGCAATCACCTTTCAGTTTTACCCTACCACAAAAAATATAGCACCCAGGAGTTTTGCCTGCTTATAACCTGGCGGCATATCTGTTGAATAGGTTAAGCAACCTCTGATTTGGAGGTGGGATGAGTGTATTACAAGGATATTGATTTCTTTATCTGTCTGCTTGCAACGATGCACTTCCTTTCAGGGGCCTCGAGGCTGCAGGTCGGGGTGGGTGTCGACTGAGCACTCCCCGCCAAAGGACCTGCCTCAAACAGAATTATTTTGCAGTGTACCGCATAAGTTTTCTAGAAATGAAGGGACGCAGTCAACCGATACTAAAGAGAAAGTCATCGACTCTTGACACTAGTTGAGATAAAGCTCCTGCTGTACTTTGCTGCAGAAAAGCACTCGTGCAATGTCGGATGTTTGTTTTGCATGTTATATCGCTGTCATGTTGCAGAGCAGAAAAAGTGCCTTTCTTTTTCCGTTGGCTTCCCATCTGCACGAAAGACTGTCTCTCCTGGTGAACAATGTCTTTATTTCAACCTTAAGAGACAAATCAAGGAAATACACAAGCATTAGATTCCGAGTATCACCATGTTTAAACCACTTTAGGACTAGAAAATTCTGAGCTCATCATACTCTTGCAAACTTGTATTCAGCGCAGTAAAGGTGAACGGTGAACCAGAAAACAAAACAAGAGCAAAGAAACAAAAAAAAATTGAAAACAAAGAAGAGTTTATTCTGATGCAATGAGAAACTCTCGCTTTAAGCATGTCATATTGCCAATCAAGTACACGGACGGGAAGACTTTCCAACTTAAAGTATGGTCAAGGCCGCGTCACACCATGATTGCGTATGTCCATCTTCCGCAAGTTTTGTTTGGCTGAAGTCACAGTGCCACTTTCAAGGCCCCAATAATGGTGATGGGGCTGTTGGCCTGCATGTGCCGCTTGTGTCCTCATCTTAGATTGCATTAACCCTACTCATGTCAGATCCCTCCAATGAACTTAGCGCTCTTTGGCAAGAGGAAAATCCTTGCTTCGCTATCACCCCTGAAGAATGGACCGCAACCTGTTGATCAAACAGCGATTAAAACCACAAAATGCTGAGTAGGATTTGCATTCGGTGAGGACCCTTGTTGCTACAATGTTTGCTTAGCACATGACGAGTCGCACAAGGAAAACAGTTTATCGAATTGAAGCTTAAAACTGCAAAAAATACAGTTCTCAGCAGCCTTTGATGCTGATTTTGGTCCCGAGTGGTTCTTGACAACCAGTGGCCAAATCCAGCCACTGAGGCTTCACACCAACCCGTTGCAATCATTGGAAACACTGATATCCTTTGTTTATGGAAAGAGCTCCTTGAGTGAACGATATGAACACTTCAGTGTTGGATTACAGGCACGCGGAATAATTGAAATCGGACAAATTCTGCCACGATAGGCATTGAATTTCGGAATGAACATTGACAGCCAAGGTGGTACTTTTGAGGTCGAAGAAATGAGGCCTCCCAAAAATGCTCACTCCTGAAAAAAAACAGTTCTCTTTTCAAGCAGCAGCTCAAGGAAGAAAACGAGAAACTAGAGAAACTAGAAGCTGGGCTGCAAGAGATCCCAGGAAGCCTGCGAATTATCAAAGCTATCGAAGCTCCTTGTTGTGTAATATCCACAAACAACTATGGCAAGCACAACTATACACACTTATTCTGTAACCAACAAAGCAACTAGAGAGTCCTATCTTGTAAACAGAAATCACACTACCCAATTCTATACTAATTAGAAATACACATTATTCAAGTTCACACACTAATTACGGATAACAGTGTAGCATTGACAAAAAGAATATGTGTTAGTCGAAGGAGCTACTACAAAAGAAAAAAAAAAAAAAAAAAAAAAAAAAGGAATATTGGAGCTAAAAGTGTTGTTATTTTTTAGCTAATTCTCTTGCTAGGTAATGGTTAAAAATTAATCTAAGACTTACTATTAGGTTAGATTAGTTTTTGTACAAAATCAATTAATTGTATTTTTTTGTAAATGAAAATAAAAAACCTTGAAATTTAAAACTTGGTTTTTAATATTTGTTGGTAATTTATATTTGCAATTGAATGTAGAAGAACCATAATGACCACATATCAAACAAGGAAAACATTAAAAAATATATATATGAAATAAAAATCATATTAAAGAGAAAAAATGATAACTAAAGCTAAAAAATTATTTGAGTTTAAAAATTTTATAACTGTAATAAAATTAAGAATTTGAAAGAATGCCATAACATAAAAAGAATAAATAAAAAATCAAAGAATTTCATCACATCATTTGAGATTATGATGTAATTTATGTATATTCATTCTTTGGAGTAAGCTTTAAGTATGGTGTTTTTAAGAGCAATAATCTCTATTGTTCTTTAATATATAGAAAGTCTTTAAAATTAAATATTTGTATATTTGTACATTTATAATTAAGAAGCAACAAATAATGCAAAAATCCCACAAATTTTTTAAAAATATAGTTTAAATAATATAAAAATATATTTTTTAAAATTTAATATCATGTATTTTATTTTACTTCTAAACTTATATTATACTCTATAATTTTTAAAAAGAGAAAAATAAAATTTATTATATTAAGACCAATATTGGTAAATTATACTGTAATCTTTAAGTATCTTATAAAGTTAGATTTTTTTAACATAGGATATAATTTAAAGAATGCGTAAAATAGTTATAAGCTAGTATAGAAGCTTATTGCAAAAAACTTCATAAAGAACATCTAACTTACTTACCTATTAATATATTCTTCTTTATTTAAATAAAATTATGATAATATAATGAATTCATACAAAAAGATCACATATTAAAGATAAATACCATAATAGAATTTTGAAGAAGCTTTGATGCAATATTTAATATATTATTTAAATATAATTAAGAATTGATAACTATTCTATTACTTTAAATATCATAAAATAAATACATTAATTTATGGTATAATCTTAAATAGTACAAAAAATAAATAAATTAAAAAATATTATAAAAAGTCAAGAATTATATTATAATATAATTATTATAACTGGAAATTTAATACAAGATGTACAAAAATAGAAGAAGTAAAAAAAAAATCCATTAGATGATTAAATTCAAGATCAATAGTGAGATATGGTTAGTCAATTTACTGCAAAAATACATTATAGTGAGACATTTAATGTTATTGTTAAACTGGTGAATAGTTAAAAAGTTGTTTCTTATAATTAAAACATAAGAAATTAATAAATAAATTAATAATTAATCAAATCCTATTAATGAAAAACTTCACTTATTGTAACTAAATATAGTATGTTTACATAAATACATACAAACATCTTCAAAGAAAAACTGTGAAAATAAAAAATATTGTTTATATTGTCAGTTGATATATTGATACAAGGTATATTTTGGCTTTAGAAACAATATGAAAGTATTTTAGAATATATATGCATAAAGAAGTATTAAATGTTGCTTGGGTGATAGTGCATTTTTCACAAATGCACCAAGTGACACATAATCCAAAGAATGATGCTCAAAATATATAATAACGTTTTAAGCCAATTTTTTTTAAATCTTTTTTTATTTTATTTTATTGATGATGTTTGTTAATGTTCATTTAAAAAGAATCTTCAATATTTAAAAAATAGTATACAAAAATCTTTAAAAATGTCAGCATGAACTTGCAAATAGAAGCTTATATTATGTAGATCTAAATCTTTGTAGAAGGTTTTAACTTTGGTTTTGATTTACAATTGTTGAAGGTCTTTAATTTTTTGTATTTTTTAATCAATAAATAGAGATGTTCATCGAATACTCAAAGGTGTGTATTTAGAAATGGAACTATTAGAAGATAAAAAGAAATATATCTGCAATATCTTTATTTTGAAATGATACATTTAGTAAAAACATTTAGAACATTGAACACTTTAATTTTTTTTCATTGAAATATATCAATTTCTCTTATAAAACTAAAATATAAATCAAAGCAAGTCCTTGTGATGATTTACTTTACTCATTTATTTGTAAACATATTATTCAAATTCCACATCAAAATAAATAATTGGCATATGCAATGTTTTATCTTACATATTTTAAATACAAATCTGATTAATCATCAGGAGACTTCTCACACATATCTTTTTAGAAAGGAAATGGAACTAAATATAGCAAAAATAAGATGTTTGTTGAACATAAATTATAAAATTGTTAAAAATAAACATACAAGAAGTAAAAACTCATTTTTGATATTTAGTAAATAAAAATAATTGTTGCTTGTAAAATATTATTGATTTTGTGATAAAAATAATTATTACTAGTATCCTATTTTTAGTAATTCTTTACAAAATATTAAGATACAATTATAAAGATTGTATTATATTGCTTCATTAATGATTGGTGCATAACATCTTAATTCTCTCTCTCTCTCTCTCTCTATATATATATATATATATATATTACATTCAATATTTGGGATTTGGTCAAATATACATAAAATTATATATTTTTTTTGTGTTGTATCAAAGAATAACTCATGTGTAAATGTTAGTTTTTTATTTTTTTATGAATTGGAACGAGGTACCATTGTAATATTTTTGTTGTTTAGAAGCTCTTGATAAGACACTTTAATTTGGAAATATGTATGTGAATATGATAATTTGGTAGAATTATTATGAATTTTTGTAGAAAATTTCCAATTTTTTTCTATCTATGATTATAAAGTACAAAAATTAATAATTTATATAAATCAACTACCAAAGTTTGGTAATACATTAAGATACACACTTTTTTTTAAAACTATTAGCTTGTATACTTAAAATTTAAAAGCAGAAGAGGAAGAAGATATTCTCATAAATATAATAATAACTATTTTTTTAATGTATGTTTATATATATGTAATTTTTGTAAAACTTATTTTGCAATAGCCATTAATAAATTTGAAGGCAAATTATTCCAAACTTTTAGTACAATCAAACTTTAGTTTTTATCTAGAACTATTTACTCATAGTTCTATGTTGATGCATGTTTCTAAGTTGTATCAAAGTTTTTTTTCCTTTTTTTTCCTTTTTTTTTTTTTTTTTTTTTTTTTTTCTTTTCTCAAATAATAGTAAAATTGAACATATTATTATTCATGCACATCTTAGAAGTTCATTAAAGTGACAAATCCATAGTTGTAGTTCAAAATAGATGAGTGAAATTATTATATACTTTTAAAATGAATTTCCTTTCACAACCAAACATCTTCATAAGAATTTTAATAATAATGAAATTTATTTATAAATATTTTAAAACAACTTTTGTGTAAGTTTTATGCACTTTCTTAGTATTATTTGTATGTTCAACACCACAATTTCTATTAATATATATATATATATATATATACACACACATATACACACACTCATACTTACATTCATACACACTCACGAACTATGTACAAGTATATATTTAAATAATCCCATTAAGCATGAGGAAAAAGAAATAAAAAATCAGTCGGAATGGTAATGGAAACGCTTGGAAAGCTTGTAATGCACAGTGGGATCAAAACAGAGGATTCGAATGCCGACAAAGTGGAAGCTGCTGACCTAGCACAATCATTTCAAACGAGATGCCAATCCGGGCCTATTAGGGTTCCAGGGGCAGAAACCCTAATTCGGGGTGCAGGGGGGTCATGCTGCAGCTGCGTTAAACCCCCCTTTGGCATCGCTCCCTTCGACACCCCCTGCCCCAGCGGAGCTCATTTCTCCCGCCTCGCATTCTTCCCGCTCCGTCTGGATTGGATTGCCCCATTCGTAGAGCACCAGTGAGAGGAAGAGTGTGTTAGAGGTAGAACCATGGGGGGAGCTACGGATGATGGCGCGTCCGCAGTGATGGAAGGGGGCCCGGAGCCCATGAGTAAGAATGCGTTGAAGAAGCTCGAGAAAGCGAAGAAGGCCGCCGAGGAGAAGCGGGCCAAGGAGGAGGTGAAAAAGGCTGCGGCGGCTGCTGCGCCCAAGAAGGCTGTCAAGGCGCAGCAGGCCGAGGACGACGAAGACATGGATCCTACGGTGAGTGGGAATGGGAGTAGGGGCGGTTTTATAGCAATGGGGGGGATTCGGAGATTCTGAGAGAATTGTGTCTGTTTCTTGGACCTTGAGGGTGGAGACTGTGGTGGTTGCAGCAATACAGGAACAATAGGTTGCGTGCATTGGGAGAGCAGAAGGAGAAAATGAAGAACCCGTATCCTCACAAGTTCCACACGAGCATTTCCATTCCGGACTATATCAAAGAGTTTGGTTCCCTTGCAGATGGCGACCACCTTGAAGACAAGGCCGTGTCTGTTGCAGGTGGGTTATTTTGCTTCTAAGTGAATTTTTCTTGATTGCAATTAGCGTATCCGTGGAATTCATCGAGATCTCGCACTGTGAAATGCGCATTACCGATTTCGATTGAGCTCTCCGATGAATTGCGTGCAGGGAGGGTAATGAGCAAGAGAGCTAGTGGTGGCAAGTTGATGTTTTACGATTTGCATGCGGATGGTTTGAAGATTCAGGTTATTGCGCAATCGAACTATGCTAGCGTATCTGAGGAAGATTTCGCAAAAACACATGCCAGCGTAAAGCGCGGGGACATTGTTGGAATCAATGGTTTCCCAGGTAAACCCAATGTACATTACAAGCATTCTGCCATGTTGATTATCAGGGCACCGGAGGCAATATGTAAAATGATAATATGGGATTTTGGGCAGGAAAGAGCAAGAAAGGAGAATTAAGTATCTTTGTGAAGTCTATCGAGTTACTTTCTTACTGTCTTCACATGTTACCTAAGACATACGCGAAAGGAGGCAAAGACCACGCTGAAAAAAGTCTCGAGAAGAAGCTGAGTGAAGTTGCTATTGACTCAGTACGTTATTTGCACCTCGCACAATCATCTGCTTCAAAGCACATGCGATCTTCCATAAACTTGGATCTTCCTTCCACTGCAATTTATGTTAATCACTCTAATCAATATTTATACTCAAGCTCTAATTTTGAAAATTTATTTTTCAGGAGGATAACAAAGTGGCCGAGCAGTGGCATCCTGGTGCCTCCAGGAACTTGGATCGTTATGTACTGAAGGACCAGGTCTGTCTTGACTTGTGGATTATACACTGAAGCATTGTACATTTAAATCTCGATTAATTACTGTTCTCTTTTTTTATTGTCCCTTTTTTGCACTTTTGCGTAGCTTAGTACTTGAAATTGGTATCTCTCTAGTTACCTTCGTATGCTATGCAGTGTTCTATAACGTCCCTAATTGTGCTCCGTTCTTCATTATTTCTTTGCTCAGTTGCTTACTTGGTATTTCTCGTGGTCTCTTGCCACTGGTGTGTTCAAAAACCTTGCCAACGTTGAAGTTGTCCACCAGAGTATAGTAAAACCTTGTGACTAATTGTGGGAAGCATGTCAATATCTCGTTTTGGAGTTCGCACATTTTTACGCCCCAGGTGTGTCTGGATCACAGGAAACCCGTTACAGACAGAGGTACCTCGATCTTATGCTCAACTCGGATATTCGTAATGTCTTCAAAACGAGGTCGCAAGTCATTCGATATGTTCGACGATTTTTGGATGATAGAGACTTTGTTGAGGTAATAATTTTTCTAAGGATTTTGATCTTTCACTGACGGACAAGGATTTATCCGTTTCGAACTTGCTTGTTCAAGGTGCTCGTTGTATACATATACATATATGTTCACACACACTCACATACTCACGCACACATATCTCCTTACCGCGAGTGGAATTATTGATCTGAATTGCAGGTTGAAACACCGATGATGAACATGATAGCTGGAGGTGCTGCTGCTAAGCCATTCAAGACGCATCACAATGATCTCAACATGGATCTTTTTATGCGGATTGCACCTGAACTTTATTTGAAGGAGTTAATAGTTGGAGGCCTGGACCGTGTATATGAGATTGGTAAGCAATTCAGGAACGAAGGCATTGATCTCACCCACAACCCCGAGTTTACTACCTGCGAGTTCTACTGGGCGTATGCTGACTATGACGACTTGATGAGAGTCACGGAGGAAATGCTTTCTGGTACTTACTCTCCCCTTGATTCTATCTCCACATATTAGGCATGGTATATCTGCAGCTGCACATAGTTGAGTGTTTGCTAGAGCTGGGATTTGCAGTCTTCCACCAAATGAAATTGAAAGTGTTTGTAGATAACAGTGTGTGCCGTTAATGCATTCCATAGCTATACGAAGCATTTTCAGTTTGGTTTCACTATGTGTTCTGAACTGCTCGTCTTGGGTCCACTTCCATTTCACAGGCATGGTGAAGGAAATTACTGGGGGCTACAAAATCCAGTACCATTCGAACGGGTTGGACCAGCCTGCAATCGAAATTGATTTTACTCCTCCTTTTAGGTACCACTGTCTCCAGTTGTATGATGTTTTGTATTGTATTTCTTTCATGTCCATCTAGTGCTTCTGATTGATGTGTGTGTCTAAGCCTTGTTTCTGAATGTTGTCTATGTTGTGCTATGTTGCAGGAGGATTGATATGATAAAGGGTCTCGAGGAATATTCTGAAGGGAAAATTAAACTTCCCGAGTCCTTGGAGCTTTTAGAGTCACCAGAGGTTAATAAGTATCTGATTGAAGCCTGTGAAAAATTTGATGTCAAATGTCCTCCTCCTCAAACTACGACCCGGTTGCTTGACAAGGTAAGTTGTGGTTTCAGTTTCAATCTAATTTCCTCCCTCTTGCGTACTCCGTGTGCGGCGAATTTTCATATGTATTCACTCACTACTAGTTCCTCTAAACTTTTTTCTGGCTAGGCTTATGTTCATGTCCTCCCGACTTTGTTTTCAGGGGTCTGGACAGAGCGGTTATTTATTTATTTATTTTATTTATCTTTTTATATATGTCTGTGTGAATCTTGAGCTGAAGCATCATACGCTGCTGCATAATCACGAACGTTTACTAACTCATTTTCTTTTACGGAGCTCAGCTTGTAGGCCACTTCATTGAGGAGCAATGTGTGAACCCAACTTTCATCATGCATCATCCACAAATCATGAGCCCTCTTGCCAAGTGGCATCGGTCCATTCCAGGCTTAACGGAGCGGTTTGAGTTGTTTGTGAACAAACACGAGGTGCATAGGCAATTGCTGCTCGTGTTTTGAAAGCCCGCAGATGTATTTTGCCTCAACAGCTGTTGTTGTACAATCCATATGTTGACGATCGCTAAGCCTGCTTGATATTTTGTGACAGGTGTGCAACGCTTATACTGAGTTGAATGACCCAGTGGTTCAGCGTGAGCGGTTTGCTGATCAAGTCAAGGTGCATAGTTTCTCCCCTCTTTGTCGTTTACAACATTATGTAATTTGTATTTCAAATGGAGAGTGATTCGTCCATCCTGCTTGGATTCCTCACAGGACCGAGAGAAAGGGGATGACGAGGCAATGGCCATCGATGAGAACTTCTGTATTGCACTTGAGTATGGATTGCCTCCAACAGCTGGATGGGGCATGGGAATTGACAGATTCACGATGATGCTCACTGATTCCCAAAACATCAAGGTGTGATTAACTTATTTTTCTACTTCATTTTTTTGTGCAGATGATGAATCCTTGTCGATTTTATCATCTTTACTTTATCTGCTTGTATGTACATTTATGTAAATCCTTTTCACACCTCACTAACTTCCCTTGGATCACAATTTGACTACTATTTCTATTCTTTCTGCCAACAGGAGGTCTTGTTGTTCCCGGCCATGAAGCCACATGAAGACGTGATAGAACCGCCGGTCCGAGCAGCAGATGATGTGGCTTCGTAGGCTCTTTGCGTCCGCCTTTGGATCGACGCAACATTTTCATTCCTTATCTTCGTTATCGTTAGGTCGTCGTCACTGCCGAGTGATAATTTGCTTGTACTGGTCATGAACCTCAGATTTATGACGTCTGCTACAACAGTTCTGACCTGCGTCTATCGCTTACATTTACCTTGGGGCCCCTGTATCTCTGAATTATGTGAGCTCTCAAGCTGGGGAAAGATATTCATGAACAATTCGTCTATATCCTTGGCTCAGCTTGTTCTTCAGCCAGCGGCACTCTAAGTGCTCTTGTGAAGTGGCAAACTAGGAATGAGATGGTTCACTTAGACCCCATCTGATGGGAATATTGTGTGCGAGACTGGATCTGCCGCTTACAAAGGTGACGTGGTTCCACGTGCGTAACTGCATAGTCAACAGTATAAAGTGGGTCATACATTCAACGTAAATTAATTTAACACTTGAGAAAGAAGATGCTTACGACTATTACTTGAGGAAAAATTACATCTACATCACAGAGCTAAATGCTGTGCAACACATATGCTACCTAGAAAATGTCAATTATTACTGGGAAGACCACCTTGTCCTGAGCTTCTGTCACTGTGCCAAACCCACATTGAATCCCCTAGTGTGTCACTACATCCTCTTACTGTATAAAATTAATTGCTACACAGATGTTCTGAAGAACATCAAAGCATGCTCCATCTCCACGGGTGCTGACTGATGGACTCGTACTATTCCTTGTCATACTACCATTTTAGTTTAAGATGGAACCATTGCAAATGATAATTGCTGCTGCACACCAGCATTTGAGCTGAAGTAGTGTTGTCCATTCGGTACATTGTAACGTTGAAAGGAGAACCGAACATGTCTGGTAGAGAAGTGAGTACTTGAGAGGGGGATACTTATTTATGAGGGATAGGGTTAGCATTGAGGTCACGTCAGGATTGGGGAGTAAATATGTTGATAGCAACTGATTAAAATATGACAGAGATTTAAAAGATGATTTTAGTAATCAAAAACTTCATAGTAAACAATATTTTTTATACATTCACAATATCTATTATTAAACAATAAGATTTGTACTCTACTTTGGACTCATTTATAACTTTGGCAATAATTACATGTAGTGTAAAAGCTTTGGTATATAGCAACAATTTGTTGCATAAATTACACTTTGTGTTCTATAATACAATTTTAACAGCTTGTTTTTTTGCACATATGAGGTCATTTGCAATTTGTCATTAAATTGAGATAGACCTCAAAAACCATTCAAAAAAATTATATTGTACCAAAGTTGGAATTAAAAATTTGAAAATACTTTAATAGTTATGTATTAATTATAAAATACAACAAGCCCTTGTAATCATAATTTGCAAACAAAATATTCAATAATAGTAATGATATTTGCATCCTATAAAGTTTCAATGTATAAAGAATTTATTGTAATAAAAGTTATACAAATAATAATCTTATTATACTTGAATTTTTTTTATTAGCAATATCTTACAATATATAAAAAATAGTGTGGATCATCTTCTAAATATCTACAATTAAGGGCTCCATTTTAAAACAAAAGATTGATTACATTATTAGAATGCTTAAGATCTTTAAAGGAAGTAAGACTATAAATATAGACCATGAGAAAATATAAGTAATGATGTCCTCCTTGTCAAGGATTGCAACCAAATATTTGTCTAAGAATACTCCACTACATTTTTGTATATTCCATCATTTTTTGTTCAAAGTATTATGCTTTAAAATTTTATTATATAAAAGATTTTGGTTGCATTATTATCCATATATGTTACAAATAATTAAGTGAATATTATATGGATTTTTTTTTTTTTTTTTTTTTTTTTTTTTTTCTACCTCTTGTCAAAGACAAGAACTTGATAAAAACAAATAAACAAGTGAGTTTTTTTTCAAAGAAAGATGACAAAATAGAAATAACTCAATATGTATATTAAGAAAGAAATTGGAATGGCTATTGCCAAAAGACAAGAAAATTAGAGACCTTTGAAAGTAGACTAGAAGTAAAAAAGGAGTTGACAAGAATGAAGAGGGCTTCACTCTTATCTCTATATATACTATCTAACTAGGGACTACATAGCGATGTTCTATAGGACCTCCAATATGTATTGACTTTGTAGGAGACATGCCTTGACTTATAAGGTAAGATTTTCTACGTGTGGGCCACATAGTTAGCTTGGTCTTCAAACTAACAACATGTGTGGCACATGGCCAACTTGTTGACCACATTTCTAATCCAAAAAGTCAATTAAAGACACCTATAAAGTCAAAGCAACGTCTATAAAACTTCTAAGAAGCTTTCATAGCAAATATTATAGAATTAACTTATTTTTACTTACTTTTACGTACTTTTACTTACTTCTACTTATTTATACATATAACTATTGACTTACATACATATGTCCATGACATTATCCCCGCTTCTAGAGACAAGTTCCATGAAGAGTGTTCATCATATATTGAAAAAATCTATGATGCAACAAATTGTATTTGCCACATATTCTGATCTTTGTTCTCTTTGAAGATGATTGATAGGGCCTCTCAACCATTGATAGTGTCCCATACCAAGGTAGGAAGACCACCCATTTATTCAATCATTGTTGAGGCCTTCATAACTTCCTTCAAATAAAATATTTGGAACACTCTTAGGAATTGTTCCTACCTCTAGTAAAATCACCAAACATCGGGAGTCCCTTCCAAGGTTGTGATAACAAACGTGTTGTATCTCGCCATCTATTTGAGGAAGAACATGTTGTTCTTGAAGATCTTCATCTCAATTGCGTCGTCTTGAAGGTTGTGATAATTATAATGTCTCGTCTGGTAGGTTAGCAAATGAAGGCTCTTGAGTCGAATCCGTTGGTTGTTGGTTCTCCATCTCCTCAGCGTCACAACTACAAAGAAGCTATAAACAAGGATTGAAAGTAGAATGTTATCTTGTCTAGATCTTGTTTCTTTTATAAAGAAGATTTTTATCTTGGTTTTGATGGATGTCGTCAATGAAAAGCCTCCACTGCTTTTGTTGCATTTACAAGATTCTTTACTGGCTCCCATGTGCATTCACTAATATCATATCCATACCAATGGATAAGATATTCTAATTTATTTTGGCGCCGCCTTGAATCTAAGACTTCTAGTACTTTGAATTCTTTATTATTCTCCACTTCTGTAAGAAGAGGTGGAGCTTGTCTTCTTCTTGGTATATCCACTATCTTGTATGGTTCAAGAAGAGACATGTAGAATACTGGATGGATTTTCATTAACTCCAGTAAATGTAAATAATATGCAACTGGATTGATTTGTACAAAAATAAAAAATGGTCCAAGCCTTCGATAGTCTAACTTGTCACAAAGACAAGTGGTCTTCATATTGTGACAAAGTAACCATATCTTGTCACCTATGTGGAATGGTGGTTGTTCCTTTTGATAGACATCCACATTGATCTTTTGTTGTTCTTGAGCTTCTTTTAACCGTGCCTTCATCGATGCATGTAGCTTTGACAAATGAATTGCCAAATCTTTCGCCGCAAGATTATCAACTTTTGAAAAGTCAAAAGTATCAAGTCATAGATGATAACCATAATTGGTAAAGAAAGTTGTTTGTTTTGTAGAAGAATGTACTATGTTATTGTTAGCAAACTATTCCAATGACAAAAGAGTTGTCCAATCATCTTGTTGGTAGTTGATGGTACATCTTAAATACTACTCCAAAACTTGATTAACATGCTCAGTTTATCCATCAGTTTGAGGATGGAATGCTGAAGATAGTTTTATATCCACTTTTAGAATCTTGAAAAGAATCTGCCAAAATCTTGATACAAATTGAGTTCTCCTATTTGATATAATATCTTTGGGTAATCCATGATAGCGATAGATATTGTCAAGAAAGAACTTAGCAGTTTCTTCAGCTGTGATGGATTTTGTATATGGTACAAAATGTGCCATCTTGATAAAATGATCAACTATCACAAATATAGAATCATAAGAACCTCAGATTGGAAGATTTGTGATGAAACCTATAGAAATAGAAGACCATGGTTGTTCTAGAATGGATAATAGCTGAAGAAGTCCATAAGGTCAATGATGAGGAGTTTTTGATCTTGAGCAAACATTACAAGATTGTACAAAAACTTTGACTGCTTTCTACATTTGGAGCCACCAAAAATCCCTGGATATTAGTTCCAAAGTTTTATTGTATCCAAAATGTCCTGTTTTTGGAAAGCCATAACAAGCTTAAAAAAGACATAATCAAGCTTCACCTTCTAGAACATATAGGCGTCCCTCAAAATATAGTAGATTCTTTTTGAATTCAAACTTGGAAGTATCATGAGACTTTGAAGGATTTTCCTTAATATCATGAATAAGAGGATCAAAAGACATACTTGACTGAACTTGCTTAATGAAAGTTGAATCAACAGTTAGTGTTGATTTCATTGCTTGAAGATGAAGATTCTCTGGCTTCAAGAGAATTGTCCGTTGTTGATCAAAATCAATATCTACTTCCTTTGATACAAGGTAAGATCATCTAGAGAGTGCATTTGACAAACCTTATTATTTTTGTGGTCGATAAGTGATCTTGAATTTGAATCTTAACAAAGACATACTCCAATGGGCTTGGCGACAATTCAAAATACGTGTTGACTTAAAATATTCAAAGTTCTTGAGATCTATATATACGGTGACTAGGTTAGAAGTACCTTCTAGATAATGGTGCTATTCTTGAAATGAATCCACGATTACAAGAAGTTCTTTGTCATGGATCTCATAGTTGATCTCGACTGCTGAAATTTTTTTGGAATGAAAAGCTATTGAATGAAGTTTATCATTTGTTCCCATATGTGACAATACAGTATCGAAAGTAAAGTCTGATGCATTTGTTTCCATAAAAAATGGCTTAGAAAAATTAATGCGATACAAGATCAATGCAGAAATAAAGGCTGTCTTCAAAGCTTCAAATGCTACTTCCGCTTCTTGATTCTATTGAAGTTTGTCTTTACAAGTCAAACAAATAAGTAGAGCTGCAACTTGAGAGAAGTCTTTCATGAAGATTTGATAGTAGTTGGCAAATCCCAAAAAGCATTGGACATCTCTTACAGTTTTTGGGATCTTCCAATCCATAATAGTTTGAACTTTCTTAGGATCCATCACAAGTCCATTATTTGAAATGATGTATCCCAAGAAGTCGACTTGAGTATTATGAAATACACACTTTTCTATCTTGGCATAAAGTCCCGCATCTCTTAATTTTTGTAATACACAATAAACATGAAGTTCATGTTCTTTTGTATTCTTAGAATAGATTAAGATGTTGTTAGAGACATAGTCCTTAGAACCTTCTAGAGATAAGTTTCTAGAACCTTCTAGAAGCAAGTCTCTGGAACCTTCTAGAAGCTTCTTAGTTGGTAGAAGATGTTACAGACATAGTCCTT